GGACGTTACTTTCTCCACAACGACAGGAGCGAGTGGCACATTTCACACAGTTACATTTCAAAGATACTTCATCTGGCAAATTCTTTATCGACTGTGTGGGTGTTGGCAACAAATGGACTCGCTGAACTTTGGCTCGGAGGGAGAGTTGGCGACAAGACAAGATTCATCCCTATTCATGTAATAGCTGTGAAAGTTGGAAAACCAATGTGTGAAGTCCTCCCTGCGACACATGCATTGACCGGCTGTGACATTACCAGCAAATTTGGCACAAAAGCTGCTGGCATCAAGGCCGATCCTGTTCTGCACTTGAAGGACTTTGGGAGGGCACATACCGATGTACAGGATTGTGTGCAAAACGCTGAGAAGTTCCTGGTACAAGTGATGAACAGAGGGAACCATGGCATTGAAACGATGGATAATTTACGTTTCATCTGGTACCATCACAGAAAGTCAAAGACAATTATTTACCCTCCCCCAACCAGTTATGATGCTACAGAAGGTCATATTCAGAGGGCATTCTATGCAACCTACATCCAAGTCAATTGCCTGGGAGACTTTTTACTGAACCCACAAGACTATGGGTTTACCATGGAAAACGAATGTCTTGTCCCAAATAAATACCATCGTAATTTGCCAGATGAAGTGTCTTTGAAATGTAACTGTGTGAAATGTGCCACTCGCTCCTGTCCTTGTGTAGCACTATCGTCGTTGAGACATTGTTTTTAAATTTATGGACAAGGAATAGAGAAATAAGATGGCTTTATATTTCATTAATTAATATCTTTGGCAAGTTAGTAATTTCAAACATATTCACATATGTAGTGTGTACTAAATCAACTTATGGTATAAATGACATATTGTTATATAAAAAAGAGTTATTTAACCATAACATGTGTCTATAAAATACCCCGAGATTACACGTGAGTGGAATTATTCTAATTGCATCATTTAGCTTAAAGTAACCAATCATATCGTTAATTACACAAGTTCAGGGCCATGATCACAAATCCTTCTGACATTTTGGTTGAGTAAAACCAGTATCCTGATCAACTGGCTGCCCTATACTGAAATTAACAATGATAAATTGTTCTTCCGGCAGAGTGAATGGTCTGTGTGCAATCCTTGACCCCTAAAACTCTAGAAAAGACACCAAGTTTATTCTCCTCGCTCAATTATGCACCTTGACAGGCTAGCCGGAAGGGCGTGGCGGCCATCTTTGAATTCACCATTACCCGCTACTTTTTTCACCCTGAAAATGATTTCAATGGATTCCTTGACCCTCAAAACCTAGTTAAAGACACCAAATTCATCACTTTAGGACAAATCCAGATGGAGTTATATCGGGTATATGGGTACGGCGACCATCTTGAACGCCATCTTGAATTACACCTTTCTGCCCCATATCTGGAATGTCTACCCAAGTTTTTTTCAATCTCCAATGGGTACCCTACAGGGATCAAGAGTCAAAATTAGGGGACATATGATTGCACACAGGACCCCCCCCCCCCCCTCAGCCCCCGGACTAATCTGTATACTTCAGAATGTGCTTTCTGAGGTATTCTGTACGTGCATCAACCATCTGTGTCTCTATCACATCATACGAAATATCCCCCATCACTAAAATTAACGTAAAATCGGCGTTTTTCGAAATTTGGTCAGAGAAATCCCATGCAAAGCAATGGCGGCCTGATCGTGAGTTTGCTCACGGATCTCCCACAATGCAACAGCGAGACGCCATTTTTTTGGAATGGGTGATTCGTGTATTATCGCTGTCTGGGCCGCTGTCTGGGCAAAATGTCTTTCATAGCACACCGCATGGTGTATGCCCGTCTTCATTAGCCCATTCGGAGCAGAACAATAGGACGTTAAACACCATTTTATTTAATTAATTCCTTTCGATTGTTACGATAATAAACGTATCGATTATCCAGTAATTCAAAAATGGCGATCGTGTTTCATTCTATTTAAAATCCCAATCATCCGACGATCTAGATAGTTGATTATAGGCTTGTCATGTGAATATTTAATATAACATTTAAGATCTGCAATAGGTAGATTTAGCTCTTACGTAATGTAGGTCACTCGCGAAGTTTTAAGGGGAAATGAGAAGGATGTGAAAAACCCATCAGGATAAATTTAAACTTCCCTAGTTTCGATTATTTGTGAAGGTTCATCTTTTACAATATTTTAGTTTGTAAGTGATTCATATATTGCTGTTTAAAATGACGCATCATGTCTTTAAAGATACTTTATGTAAGCTCTAAATCTGTCTATTGCAGACCTATCCTTTAGACTCAAATGTTTTATAAATATTGTCATGACAAACCTAAAATAAACTCTCTAGATTATCAGAGGCTTGTGATTTTAATGAATTGAAACACAATCTCCATTACGTTTTGATTTAAAAATGAATAATCAAGGCTTTACTTGTTGTCATAGCAATGATAGCAATGGTAACCGACACTACACTATTCTGATCAGCATCCGTAACTTCGTTGGAATAATGTAATTTGACTGAAATTTTCAATGTTCAAAATATTCCTTTTTCCTTATCTATTTTATAATCGGTATATCTAGACAACTCTTTATCTAAATCTTGCATACTGCATCTTTAAAGTATTTGTTTTTTTATATATTGTTAATCTTCTATTCCGGTTACTCATATCACTCGTGTTGTAGTTGTGTAAGCAAACGGGCACCTGTTATATCTACATGTTGAAAGGTAAGTATATTATCTCTCGTTATATCGTATAATATAGAACAAATAATATGATTAGACCTCTGGGCAAAAGTAAAATTAATTATTTCATCGGACTTTGTTTGGTGAATTGATATTTTTGTCGGATGAGAGGGAAAGAGAGAGAAATGGGGTTTAACGTTCATTCGACACAAACTAGGTCAATTTTATTTCAATAAAAGTGTCACCGACAAGCGGGAAATCGAAACCACTTCACGTGACTCAAGGACAGATCTTTTGTCTCAGCGTGTACGCGTTAACCATTCTGTCACTCAACCCCTCTTTTGCGAGATGAAAACCAAGTTATTTAAATGGCATTGCACACAAACTACAACTTGGTTCAATTGTCAATTATACCCCTGTGTTAAATGACCGAGACTAACTTTTGGCATTACGTGAGAGTGATGAAACTTGGTGTATAGTTTCATTACATCAATACCTTGACTAAATTCGATAATGAGCATTTTCTGCTCAGGGTAAGCAGAGCGATAAACAATTTGATTGGTCGAGACTTTGGAACACAATAACTCTCGTTCTCAAATAGAGCTAGAATGTTCACACTTGGCGTAGGTGTTTATTAGGTCAGTGCCTTGATGGAATTCGAAGATGAGAATTTCTGCTTAGGGTAAGCATAGAGATAAGCAATTACATTGGTTGATGCTTTGGGACACGATTACTTTAGTTCTAATTCACTGAGAGTCAGGACACTTGGTGTATAGTTTTATTACATCAATACCTGGACTAAGTTCGATAATGAACATTTTCTGCTCAGGGTTAGCGGACCGACAAGCAATTTGATTGGTCGAGAGTTTGGAACACAATAACGCTGCTTTTAACTGAGGACGAATTTCAAACTTGGCGTAGGCGTTCATGAGGTGGATGCCTTGATGGAGTTCGATGATGAACATTGTCTGCTTAAGGTAAGCAGAGATAAGCAATCTGTTTGGTTGATGCTTTGGGGCACGATAACTTTGGTTATAATGAAGTGAGAGCGATGGAACTCTGAATATAGATTGATTATATCATTACCTTGACTAAGTTCGATGGTGAGAATTTTCTGCTTAGGCTAAGGAGCGATAAGCAATTTATTGGTCAAGACTTTGGAACATAGCAACTCTGCTTTGAATTGAGGTAGAATGTTTAAACTTGATGTAGATGTTCATTAGGTGAATGTCTTGATTGAGTTCAATGATAGAGAGTGATAAAACTTAGTGTATAGTTGATAATCAGCTTGATTGCTCGATACTTTTGAAAAAAAGGTGCGATTAATTAATATGTGTCATCTATTTATTTTGGCATTTCAGCGGGGGACATCAGCCTCACTGTTGGCTTTTTAACTAGTATAGTCATAACTGCGAGTCTATCTAAAATTTACAACAAGGATGTTGATAAGGGGTCATTCGAGGAACCTGATCTCTATTGTGTTCACAAGCTTGAAAATCATTTAAAAACGGTAACCTCTATCATGGGGTTTTAAGGGAAAGAGCTAACAACAAAACAGAAGGTTGCAACATTGATCATTTAGAGCAATTGTCATCCCATAACCATAATTTTTACACCAGATTTGAACCAGCCCATTTAAGGCACCTTTATCATGATCACAATGTTTTTGGAAAAAGGAGCGGAAAAATCTATTACAAACTGTTGTCCAACGGCCTGGCTTGTGCAGACATGTAGGGCCTTAAACCCCATTTTGTTTCATCCGTCTTAAAATAAATATTCTTTTCTTCAGGGAACTGTTTTGATGGTAGATCCATTCAAGATGTTGGCTGTTGTTATCCTTGCTCTTTGTTTTCCATCTGTGGCAAGTCAGGATGCGTGTTCAACCGGATTATGCCGGTGCGCACATCGTATTGCTCGCTGTTATAATAAAAACCTTACCTACATTCCAAAATTTCCCGATAACACCAAAGCCATATTCATAAAATCTAATTATTTACCTCATATAGGTCCAACTACAGTTTTAAACATTAGCAACACAAAAATATCATGGGTAACTCTACATCATAATGAAATTCAGTCTATTGACGAAAACGTTTTTCAAAATCTATCGCAGGTTTCCTTCTTGGATTTAAGCGATAATCTACTCACTTCAGATTCGTTGCGGAACTTATTCTCTAGTTTTCAGAGAAATAGCAGACTCTCCAAGATATTTCTCAGTAGAAATCGCTTAGAAGATATTCCATATAATGTTTTTGTTGACTTTAAATCCGCGGAAAGGATAACCTTGGATTTATCTCAGAATAGTATCAAACTATTTAATATGACATCATTTAATGCAATAGAAAAATTGCAAAAATTGGATGTTTCGCATAACAAAATTTCCACCGTCATTCCTGGTGTTAGCCAACATCTGCAACACCTCTCTATTTCTAATAATAGTTTGGCTGCTTTACCAAACCTTTGTCTTCGTCGAAACTCCTATCCAGATTTATCAGAATTGCAACTAGACAGCAACAAGATCGGTAATTTCGTTCCGGAATATTTAAACTGCTTGGAAAAGCTAAAAGTCTTGGATGTGAGTTTAAACTACATTGACTTATTAAAAACAGATTATTTTCATTCTTTCAAGTCTCTTAGCTCGTTGTGTATCTCAGGAGAGAGTAGAACATTTTATATACAGGAACGTGCGTTCAACAACAGCAACCTGCTAAGTCTAGACCTATCAAGGAACAAATTGACCACTAAAAGTCTGCATGGATGTGCATTTTGTGGAATGGATCGGTTAGAAAAACTAAATCTGGCTAAAAATAATTTCTTTAAAATGGAGGAAAAACTAAATACAACGCTAACCCCTCTGGTATCTCTTGAAGAATTGTTGCTGTTGGATTGTAAGTTACAGACAATACCTACTGTCACCAGATATTATCATAATCTCACTTATTTAGATGTTAGCTGGAATCTGATTAAATCCTGGCCAAATAATTTGTTTGAAAGGAACACTAAATTGAATAACCTAAATGTAGGTCAAAATTTAATTCAGACTGTTACAAGTAAAATGTTGCCTGAAGTGTTGAGGGAAAGATTGAAAACAATATCCTTAACAGCAAATCCGTTCGTATGTAAGTGTGAATTGGTTTGGTTGATTCAGTGGATTCATAGGGAACCATACAAGTTTTGGGATTATCCGGAAGGCTATAGATGTCTGAATATAACGGAGAGAATTTGTCTGAATAACACTGGAGCGTTTATCTCTGTGACAACAGTAACATGTTTTTTTATCTGTGTCATTTTGATCGCTTCTGTTATCAACAAATATATCTGGCATATTAAATATCATATTTATATGTGGAGATACAGACCTAAACAGCTGTTGGATATTGCAGAGAAACACTTTGTCCATGACGCCTTTGTTGCTTACTGTGTAGAGGATGGAGACTGGGTTTTACATGATCTTCTACCTGTCGTGGAGGAAGGTGAAAACATTAGGTTGTGTATCCACGAAAGAGATTTTCTTGGTGGAAAACTGATCATTGATAATATCGTGCAGCACATGGAAAGCAGTCGTAAAGTTCTTGTTGTTTTGTCCAATGATTTTGCTAGAAGTAAATGGTGTCAATTTGAAATGAGTTTAGCTCAGAAATTGGTTATAGATAGGAGTATAGAGTCTATAGTAGTAGTATTACTAGAGGATATAGAAACAGTTAATATGAGTAAATCACTGAACGCTCTATTGAAAACTACTACTTATATCAAATGGCAAGATAATGAGAACAAAGAGATAGTTTGGCAAATGGTAAAAACATCACTTAAACGTCAATATGAATTATAATAAAATTAAAGTACATGGATCTGTTTACCGCAGTGGTTTCATGGTCCGTAGTTCAATAGCTACAACAACCCCGCCCACTCAATCTGAGACTGTATCCATTCCTCATGTTCGAATACACAAATGGAATATCACTTGTTAACTGATTTTATACACTACGAATGTCTTGGTTTGATATTATTACTAGAAGTTTAAGTTCAACCAATTTGAATCCTCCTGTAGACAATATCAATCTTTTGATGGGCCTCTTGTTAATCTGTTGAAATCCAACCAGGTAGATAATCTATTGTTGATATTGTCATAGTATTTTCTGAATTAAACAGGCATTATGCAAAAGCTAAATCTGTATATTGTAGTCCTTTCTTTAGACCTGTATCATTGTATCATTGTAAAAGCGCCATAGAGCAGTTGTTTCCAGCTGGATTTTGTCGCTATATATGTTTAATGAATTTTTATTTATTATTTTATTCATGTACACTGACTGATTTATGTAAATAATGTATATATTTCTAATTCATTTATATTTTATTGTATTATCAAAATTTGAAGTATGTTTCGCTGATTTGGTGTGACGCCAGGCAGGGTAAGCTTACTCTTCCGGACACCTGTTACCACTGTTTGTCGTGTATTTTGTACACGGTGAACAGTCCATATGCTAATTACACTATTTTGCCTTATTTCACTATTTTGCCTATACCGTTTTTTTAGGACTAATGGTTTGGATTATTCGTACATGGTTTTATTTTATGTATAAAATGTATATGTTTGACTTTTGTTAAAATTATTACTATTAGTTCGTTATCTGAAATGTTTCTATACTATTACCATTCTGTTATGTTTATTATTATTGAACATATACATGTACTTGGTAATTTAGTGTGTGAAGTGTGAAGGTACTCTGGCTGATACCCAAGTGTAAACGATTGAGTTTTGATATTACGAAACCGCCAAATTAAGATACAATTCTCAATAAAACTCTTGAACCCACATATTTAAATATCTGTCTCGTCTTCCATAATATATAATATAAATATTGTTATTTGATGTTAATAAATACGCATTTAGCATAATATGAAATAATATTGTTTTTTGCTTAGGGATGTTTGGGTAACTTATGGCTAATTCTTAACCGTGTCTCTTGAAGGGGAGCCTTAGCGTTTTGCTTTGTTGACCCGATGAGAGTTACTTCCCTTCGCCAACTTCCTTTGTAATTAACGACTTATGTAATTGGTCGATAAAAATAGCACAATTATCAACCGCAGATAACTTGAATACACGCCTCGCCCCCATGGATTAACCCATGGGTTAGTGGGGTAGAACGGAATGAGACCACCGAGGATGATAACTGGGGTGGTTTGAGTAGAATCGTTTCTAATTAAACACAATGCATCTGTTTGGGTAGTTGCACTTGACTGGGTTTTATTCATTCAGTTGTGTACTTGACTGGGTTCTTTATCCCTTTTATAAAATCTAGAATTATTTGATTTAGGTGTAACTGAAAGTGTTCATTTGATTAAAACCAACGTCATTGTATCGTAGCGATGAACTAAGTATATTTCGTTTTGTTTTTTATTGTTCAAATTTCGTTTTACTGGTCTTTACTTCATTATAAAAAAAAAACGAAACGAAATATAGATCAGCATTTTGATTAGATACGCCAGTGTTTGTACTGTAGGCTTCTAGCTTGGGTGTGGTAGACATGTTAGGGCCCCCTATGGATTGTGAGGCACTAAGTTGTAGCTTTTCCTGCGGCTGTCTAGTCGTTTGGATTGGACGAAATACAGGGGCCCCATCAACACATTGACATGCACGTAAAAGATCCCTTGGCAGTTGGAATCTGATATAAGAGTATATCTCCCCGGCGCACGAAAATCCTTTTTACATGCGAGACGCCTAGATATGAAAAGTATTCTACCATTTGACCCTCACTGCTGTCTTCAAGATTCCGACAACGAATAACTCCTCTACTTGAATTTAACGACCTATGCGGGGACACCTTGATAGGAATGAGTGCTAAGGATGTGAATTTAAGCAGTATGGTTGCATGCTGTTCCTTACCACATTCTCTACAAGGAGTGTCCCGTTTTTTTAGTTTTTTGATATCCATTGAATATCAAAAATGGTAGAGGGACTCTCAATTAACAGAAACCTCGGCCATGCCTTTGTAATCTTTTTTTTTTATGGGGGGGGGGGGGGTGGCTTGCACGGATAGCCTGTGCATGGCTTCAGGGCTCGACGAGGGTTATATTCAACCCAAGTAAAAATATTTATCTAACCTGATTTGTAAATGTACTCAGGACACAAAGGTAAACCTGCTGAACATAAAAAACAACAAATGAAAATGAGAAATGTACATTCTACAGAGCTAAAACGACCAAAGTCGGTTGATCAGAGTGGGCCACTTGGACCTCCCGTCTAGTTGAACCATGTGCCAAAGTAATGTGCTGCAGAAAATCAAGAAATAGTAGATAAATGTATACATAAAATGGCCCAGTGATGCCTAGGCGGATGAGCTCAATGAATGATTGCAAGTTGCGTTTTCTGCATTTCTAGCTCGTGAATTAAGCAACTTCAAATTTTCCAATCGGATTGCTACTGATATCCCACTCTATGCCGACCCGAATTCCAACCATCCAATCAGACTGTTGCAGCTGAATTCACAAATAATAATCGATGCCCGAAAAATGTCCCACAAAGTAGAGTGACTCCAGACAAAATGCTTTAAAGGGACTATCCCGATTTGAACAAAAATAAAAGTCTGAGTACGTATGAAATTTAAACGCCAAAATATAGAGGACTGGTGTACTTACCTTGTCCCAAACTTTCAGCTCGAAATATTTGAGTCGTTTGGACGTGAATGTCAAAACTGCTTATCCGGACACGTAACCCTTTTAAGATTTCGGGTCAAATTTTTCGTTGAGTGACCTGATAATCGATTCCCGTTCCTTTAGAGGTCTATACAATGAATGACCCATGTGCTGTACTTGATAACGACAGGTAAATTTCACCTACACATTATTTTTATAAAATAAAAGTCTGGTTTTATCCAGACACCGCATTATACAGGGTGGGATACCGGTTTCCATTTCCAGATAAAGACAGACGCATCACATAACTTGAGTTAGTTGCTCGGCCCTAAGGTAGGGGATTTTAAGGGATTTTAACACAAAGCAGTTTTATTCTCCAAAATATTATCGGGATTGGTCCTTTAATCCATAGTACACAATTAAAAGAAAAGTAAAAATCGTGTGTAAATTTATTAGATTTCGGACACTTTATATTAACAACTACATGTAGAGGAAATAATAATCTTTGTTTTCACTTTAACCCTTTGGGGTGGTATGTGAATCGTCAATAAGTATGAATTGAAACTTCCCTAGTTTCGATTATTTGTAAAGGTTTGTAACTGCTGTATAACGACCTTGTCAGTGGTGTAAGACAAGGGATAACGTATAGTCGTTCGGATGCAGACAGAAAACCGAGGTTCCATGATGGTTAAAATTCGATATAAGAGTAGTCCATATCGCAGAGTTTCCTTATTTCATTATGCTTAGCATATACACATGGGTTTTGCCTGGGTGGAGGGGGAGGCTGAATATCTCACCATTGATCGAAATCCACGACCGAAAGCCAGAGTTGAACGGCTAGCTAGAGCTCGAAGCGTGTGTAGTAATATGGAGGGAAAGAATTTGTGCTTTGAAACATCTATGTAAAATAATATTAGGATTTTGATTAATTATTCTCCATTGTCAAATATATCTGGCATAACGTATAATAATAATAATAATAATAAGGGTTCTTATAAAGCACTAGACTCCAAACAGTACTGTTTGCTCAAAGCGCTAACAAAGTTTACAGGAAACCGTTATAAATATGAACACTGAAACAAATAAGTTTTGAGTTTCTGTTTGAAGATGCTAAGAGATGGGTGAGTCCGTAGATGTAGTGGCAGAGCGTTCCATGTATGTGCTGCATTATAGTCAAAAGATCTGCAGCCAAAGGTTTTCGGGTTATACTTTGGAACAGTTAATAAACACTGGGAACCAGAATGGAGTGATCTAGATGGAGAGTATTTGTGAATTAAATTACATAGATAGTCAAGTTCGTGCTGCAAAGTAGGGCCGTAAACCCTAATGGCAATGGAATGTGGTACTTCTTGAGTCTGAGAAGATGGTTCAGCCAAAGACCCTGGGATTATTCTCCCATCCCTATCCTACTTCTTATTGGAGATAGAGACACACAGAGGGAAATGGGGTTTAAAGTCCCCTTGACACAAACTAGGTCATTTCGGGAGTAACATATGGTTGGAAAGGCGACTCTACTCCTTGTCACGTACAACCGGGAAATCGAAACCACGCCAGTTGACTCAATGACAGACTTTATGATACAGCGCGCACACGCTAACCGTTCACCCCCCCCCCCCCTTCTTATTTGAACCGTGATCCGATGAACAATAAAATTACAAACAGTAGAATGGTTTTATTCACTAAGCTGGTTCATTTCAATCGGAGTAAAATAAAATAACGATTTATAAACAAGACAAGGCAGACATTTTAAAATATCATTATTTAAATCTTTATAAACTAATTAACCAACAAACAATTAAATATATTAACTATAATTACAATGACTGAATTACAAACTCCAACGGCTGAATTACAAACTACAATGGCTGAATTAACCAACTCCAATGGCTGAATTACAATCTCCAATGGCTGAATTACAACTTCCAATGGCTAAATTACAAACTCTAACAACATATTTAAATAATTAAGTAATATATATATATATATATATATATATAAAAAATAAAAATGGCTTCAAAGTATTTCTACACCTAAAGAATTAAAAAATTCTAAAATAAATGTTTTCAACAAAAGGGTTTACTACTCCTATCTCAATAAATTAAACTAAAATCAAATTGTCATAATTTAATTAATTTGTAATTTATCAATAAATGAGACCAATTACAATATTCCTATAAACAGAAAATAAATTGTCATACATTAATTAATTTGTATTTGTATTCCATCAATAAATTATAATAAATTTATAATAATATTCCTATCTAACTAAACTGAATTAAAAACATTATTTCATATTTCATCAATAAATTAATAATAATAATAATAATAATTATTATAAATAAATTTTAATATTTATAATATTTCTATACAACTAAAAAGTTGTCATAAATCAAATAATTTGTCATAAATCAATTAAATAATTTGTCATAAATTAATTAAATAATTTGTCATAAATAAATTAAATAATTTGTTATAAATTAATTAAATAATTTGTTATAAATTAATTAAATAATTTGTCATAAATAAATTAAATAAAATAATTTGTCATAAATAAATTAAATAAAATAATTTGTCATAAATAAAATAATTTGTCATAAATTAAATAATTTGTCATAAATTAAATAATTTGTCATAAATTAAATAATTTGTCATAAATTAAATAATTTGTCATAAATTAAATAATTTGTCATAAATTAAATAATTTGTCATAAATTAAATAATTTGTCATAAATTAAATAATCTGTCATAATTAATTAGTCATCAATTAATTAATTGGTCATCAATTAATTAATTGGTCATCAATTAATTAATTGGTCATAAATTAATTAATTGGTCATAAATTAATTAATTGGTCATAAATTAATTAATTGGTCATAAATTAATTAATTGGTCATAAATTAATTAATTTGTCATAAATTAATTAATTTGTCATAAATTAATTAATTTGTCATAAATTAATTAATTTGTCATAAATTAATTAATTTGTCTTAAATTAAATATTTTGTCATAAATTAAATAATTATAATTCCCATTTAATTAAAATTGTAAAAAATCATTCAATCGATTAAGTTTTAAAAATGTTCGTATTTTTATATTATCTATGACATAATTTTACTTACTAAGGAAACAACTATGATATCCATATGCTATGACGTAAATAATATACAAAACCTACATTATATAATTTAATATTAAACAAAACAGCCATGAAAGAGAAATAAAAAGTGGTCAGAACCGTGAAATTTTTTTAACAATTAAAGCAAAGCCTCGTTCTAAATTACATTATCGACTTGTGTTGAAATCAAAAAAGAAGATTAGAAGATTATCTGTATATCCACAAATATTACAGATTACAAAATTATGGTAAACACAAGAAAAACATAAATCACTGGTTTTAACGAATTAACCATGGTAATTGAAAACTATTTTAATTATCATAAAGTATGACGGATAGAATTAATATTTTTCGACATAATAAAATCATATATGTTAATAATTAATAATTATACCTAAGAATCATCCCACGACCCCCCCCCCCCCCCAAACAAAAAAAAACCAAAAAAATAAATAAATAAAAACAAAAAACCCATAACATTTATATAATTAAAATATACATTGATCCAAATTATAAATAAGACACAATCATTACTTATTTTTGAATAAAAATGTGAATATTAAAATTCTGGCATACGCATATCTGCGTAGATTTTTCCAGGCGATAAATTATGTATACAAATATAACAAAATAAATAGTAATATCGGAAATATATTTAATATTAGGGGGGGGGGGGGTTAACGTCCACTCGACACAAACGAGGTCATTTCGGGACTAAATTAATATGGTTTAATTTTATTTCAATAATTCGCTTGCGCGTAGTGAGTGAGAGGAAACCGGGGGACCCGAAGAAAACCCACGAGGTTGGACAGGCGACCCTAGTACCCAAGATCCTTTGAAACATACAGAGGCTTGTAAATTTGTTAACAGCTACACTTGGTTGTTCGTGTTTCCGTTGAAGAGGCCGGCAGACTAGAAAGCTTAGAATACACGATTAACTGGATTTATGTGTTAATTTATTTCCCTTGTCAGGATAGAAGTTTTTAATTGGAATATATATATCCATTTTCTTTTATACATGTATACAAAATTAAAACAAATAATAATATTTTAACAGATATAAACAATTAAATTCATGATTATAAGTCAACGAAATATACAAGTATATATTGTATATCAAACACGTATTAAAGGAAACTATCCCAAAGCAATATCTAAATATATGGATGAATTAGCGAAAAAAAACCACATCTTAACTAATTTTAATTTTAATAATATATGTACTACAGAATAATATATGCAGACTATTTATTTATGTTAATCCATGTCATACGAAGCGTTGAATCCACACGCGTATTAATACAATAATCCATAATACTGATTATTACTACTTACAAAATTTCGATGCGCGGTATTATAGATATATTTAAAACTAAAGCAAACAATAATAATATCGACATTAACACACACGAACAAAAAACTCCCAAAAATTCTAATAAAACACTAAAACACAATATTAAAAAATATAAAATCAAATAAAACACTTATATCACATTTGGACGGAGTCATAAAAGGGGCGCCAATGGCCATTATGGTCATACCATATATACAATGTAATGTGTTATTAATCAAACATAGTTCTAAAAATTTACAAAAGTATAACCATTATATAAAATATTCTTTACGCATAACATCCATACGATATAATAAAAGTTCATTTACTTCAGGACATCAGATGGAAAATATGATACATATACTTCTGTCAGATATTAACCCTTAAATGCCCAATGGTTCAATAGACATTGTGCCCCAAAGCCTAGCCATGTTCACGACTGACTGTCGGCGTCAGATTCTGCTTGTTAATCGTGCTGGACTTTTTCCGACTTGCCCGTTCGTTCACATAGATGCTCACAGTAATGGACAGTAACATGATTCAGGCGTTATTTTAAATTCGTAAACACCGTAGATTAAACACGAGAGAATTCATAATCAAAACATTATATTCAAAGGGTTAGTGCTAGATGATAGGGCCAGCTCATTGTTTCGTCATAGGTCACGAGATATAAACAGAGCTACCTCTAATCCCAACCCTAGCCCTAACTCTGGACATCGCCCCAATGCTTACCCTAACCCTAACCTACACTTGCCTTAACTTTATTTACATCTCAGCGACCTTGACAAAAATTGAGCTGGCCTTATCAAATAGATTTAGCCATGTTTAAACTGCACCCCGCCACAACTCCCCAAAACAGCAGGAGGTATCTTTAATTCAGGCTGATTAAAAACAAACCCTGTTGAACACATTCCACTCAAGCAGAGTTGTCTTCCCTTGTGGTTCACTTAATATAGGATCGCGGAATCAATACGTTAAGCATTAAAATATAATGAAACTTTTTTTTGCTCTGTTTATAAAAAACCAAACCCGGGTAAACACATTCCACCAAGCAGAGTTGTCCCCCCTTGCAGTTCACATCATATAAGATGTCGGAATCAATACGTTAAACTTTAAAATATAATGAAACATTTTTTGTCATGTTTATATAAAATATACAACTTTAATATATACTAACATTAACAACAATATATACTTATTTTAATATAAAAAAAAACAATTTACAGTGAATACTGGTGGAAAATTAATACTTTTAATAAAAATCACAAATAGGAATGCTGATACAAGCTTCAAACTCTCTGTACTCAACAGCAATGGTAACAGAAAAGTTGTGAATTTGGCTAAACCCGAATGCTAAATTGTTTTCTATAAGCATGCATGTTTTTGGAATGTTGTGAGTATACATCAAATTTGGTTAAAATTTAATGCTAAATTGGTTTCTATAGATTAAAAAGTTTGGAAAAACTAATATAAATATATAAATAAATACTACACATATATTTTATTTATAACATAACAAAAATGTGGTAATTATCAACAACCCATTCTAGAAACAAATACACCAGCTGCTAAATAATTGCAGAAGTTATTTTAAAAATCTAAAATATTTACTACACTAAAAAACACCTGCTTAATCTATAAAAACAAGCACGAGCTTAATATAAACCAGTAACGAGGCATGACGACATCGCCGTCATCTTGGCATTGTGACCGTTTTATCGGTCAATCGATGCGCAATTGCCCGAGGAATAGTCGATCAGTGCTAAATGATAAGGCCAGCTCAATGTATCGTCATAGGTGACGAGATATAAACAGGGCTAGCGCTAATCACAACCCTAACCCTTGACATAGCCCCAATGCTTACTCTAACCTTAACCTACAATCTCGCCAACAATTACGTGCCCTAACCTTCTTTACATCTCAGTGACCGTAACAAAATTTGAGCTAGCCTTAACAAATAGATTTAGCCAGGAACAGGCGCGCAAAGTTAATTTATGGTGCTTTACATGGTTCTCGTGTTCACCTGGTCGTCATAAGTGGACCAGGCTTTATAAATACCGAATAATAATTGATCAACCAGAATATATTGTACTGTAGTAGTGCACTGTGTAAAGATTTGACTCGGATAAAGAAATCAAATAACGCAACATTATATGTCAAGATAAATAAATATTATTTTACAAAGTTCACATTATCTACACAAATATATACTAAATATATATAATTACGTATTACAAGTTCATGGGAAGATAAATAATATATTATTCACAGGTTGTACAAGTGGTATTTTCAAAGTATAAAAATTAATATACAACGACAGGTATATCACAAATAAATATAAACAAACAATAAACACTACAACAGTTTATGTGGGTTTATTCGCCGGGGATGTACAGTTGATATAATGACCAGAATGAAGCATTGTCTCAATCATACTTTTACACCCTAGGATCATTTATCTTGGGTTAAACCCCGGTTAGTACTAAATGATAAGGCCAGCTCAATTTTTCGTCATAGGTCACGAGATGTAAACAGGACTAGCGCTAATCCCAACCCTGACCTTAAACCTGGATCTAACCCCAATGCTTATCCTAACCCTAACCTACAATCTCACCAACAATCACGTGCACTAACCTTATTTATATCTCAGCGACCTGGAAAAAAATTGAACTGGCCTTAACAAATAGATTTAGCCGTTAAAGCCCATTTTATTTTTCTGCACCAACCGGGTTAAAGAAGACATGGGTATCTCATGCACTGTGATATGATGGAGATTTTCCTGGCCTACTGTTAATTCGATTTACATCTCGCGACCCTAGCGAAATCTGCAGTTGGCCTTAACATTTAGACCTAACCATATAAATATATTACAATAAGCACTTCCGGTAAAAGATGAATGATAGTAAATGGATATAGCATATTGATATACGTCGTCCGTATAAAACGAAAACGTTTTTTTAAATCAAGAAAAATGATGAACACGACATCCTTTCGAGGGAGATGTAATAAAAGGCAGTAAAAGTTCTAAAAGGCTGACTAAAGAAGGCAGGCAACGATGCGGGAACAAAGGGAGCTAACTCCAAATAAGAAGGGCGGCCTTGTATAAAGAAGAGTTAACTCATCAAAGCCATGACATCATCATCAGCACTACTGGCTCCGTCGTCACTAGTAACAATTGGTTCCTGACGGCCATCACCCTGGATTACTATCGGTCTTGAAGAGAATGAAACGCGTTTCCTGGGTGACTCTGGTTGTTCTGGACCGCCCACGTTCCCGTTTTCATCCCGGGTTATAATTTCATTATCGGACAAGATTGATTTCAGCTTAGACTTCTGTTCGGTTGTTTGGTCGTTCGTGTCTCCGAGTTCCAGATTAAACTCATTTTTCAAGTTTTCTAACATCTCGTTGTTGTTATCCTGCACTGTCACTTCAACAGGCTTCGTTTTAGATTCAACAGCAGAGCTTAGATCATTCAGTGTCTCTAAAAGTTTATTAGATTTTCCATTGTTGTTTAAATCACCGGATTCGAAATCTCTATCGCCATTTTCGATACGCCCATCCATATCCGAAACATCTGTCGCAACTACGTTGTCGTCTGCACCAGAGGTGTTCGTGACTTCAAAACTGGTATCGAGTTCATTCAGGTTTCTGTGCATACCCACGATTTCAGAGACAAAGTCATCGGTTGATCGCAATCGATGTAATCTCATTCTTAGTTGATGGACATCATCGTCTGATTCTTCATCCACCGCCACTTGTGCCGACATCTTATCATCGTGAAGGTCATTGAAATCACTAGGTGCAAGCACTTCACCTGGTATCGGCGTTTCGTCGTCATCAACGCAATCTTGAGGTTGCACCGGAGAGGTTTCTCCGTCTTGTAAAACAGTTTGAGTTTCTACCAAATCTTTAGACCCGTATGCTTCTGACGACTCGTCCAAAGGAGTTTCGACTGGGGTTTGGTCATCCGTCAAATGTTTAGGTACTGCTTCCCCTGACGAATCCGCCGTCAATTCTTGTTTATTTTCATCGTGACAAGCTCGTTGGTGTTCAATTTCAACTAGCGTATTAGATTCCTCAACACACCCGGAGTTGTTGTCAATTGTTGTTATTGAGGTATCCACAACTGTTTTGGTTGGAGATTCTGGTCTTTCCGTTGTGTCTTCCACGTGTTCTACAGTACCCAAAACATCCGAAATGATTTCATCACAAATCTCTTCTTTATCCCCGGTATCGTCTTCCAGCTCCCCGCGTTGGTCACCTTCTCCCTTTTCTTCAGATACAGAATCCACATTTATATCAGTTTGGTCTTCTTTATAATTTACAGGTTCTAATTCTTTCTGTATCGCATCATCGGTCTGGTTTGTTGTCGCAGATTCATGATCTGATCTGTTCGCTTCCAATAAATCATCATCATTTGAAATGTGCGTAGGTTCTATATAATCCAACGTTTGAGACTTGGCTTGAAGTGCAGATAGAGGATCTACTTCGGCGACATCATTAGAATTTTGAGCTTCTAAATCTTCATGTATGGCATCATTGATCGGGCTTGTTGTCGATAATTCTTCTGCATGATCTTCTCCCGGAATCTTTTCTATAGTAGATGCAGGTAGTTCTGATCCAGGATGAATTCTGCTGTCTGGATGAATTACATCATTAATATTTTGCAAAGCATCTGCACGCTCTTCGGTTTCGTCCAACTCATCATTATAGTCATTGTCATCTTCGGGTATTATTTTCGTTTCGGCTGTTGTTTTAACCACAGCATAAGATTGTTTTAACACTGTTGTATCGTCCATGTCAAGGCTCGCTAGACTGTTCGCAGTTGAACTATCGGGGTCTTCAGCTATCGCCGTCGAAAGGGTGACCTCGTCCTCCGCAAACTGTTCGTATACACCATAATCATTCGGCTGTTCACTGTAATAATCTGGTGCTGTCTCGGTGATTTTAAGCTGGGGTTTGTCAACCTCCATAACTTGTGGTACCGGGGATTGTTCACCAGAACCGATCTCGTCTTCGCAAGTATCTGAAATGGCTTCGGGGATTTCCTGTTCTTCAGGAACCGACAGTTCCTGGGTGTCCGATGCATTTTGTGTGACGTTGTCCTCAAATTCTGAACCAGTAGACTTTTCAGGTTCGAACGTCGCAGCCATTTCTGTTATTTCTGTCGTATCTAGTACGGCTTTTTCCACGAATTCTGACTCAGTGGCTATTTCTCCCGTTTTTACCTCACTGTCGTCAACAGTTTGGGAATCTAAATCCACGTCTGTTGCAGGTGGTACTTCAGGCGTATCGAACAATTCAGAAGATTCTAATTTCGTGCTTGTTTGTGTAAGTTGAGGGGCGTTTTCGGCTATATTGTCAATTGATTCCGGTGATTCGACAATAGTGGATTCTGTTTCTTGGATTTCCTTCTGGTCAGTAGAAAAATGAGTTTCGGACAGCTCAGATGGTTCGGAGACTATAGCTGCTACTTTGGTGGTATCTTCTGCTGTGGTGTCAGCATGGGCTATAGTGCTATCTGGTTCAACGATCTGGTCCTCTGGAAGACTGACATCATCCTGTTCTATACCACGTCCACCGACATGGCCATGGTAAAAGCCAGATACTTTCTTTGACTCCGTGTGGCTATCGAATTGATTGTGTAAGTCAAGAGGAATTTCTTGATTTTCTGGTGTCAAATGATCTGCTTCTTGGATAACCTGTTCTTCTATACTTGATTCGGAACATTCCATAATTTCCTCCTGCTCGTGTAGCCCCAACATGATCTCTGTGGTATCTTTCTTCTCGATTGGTTCCAATACTTCATATTGTTTCCCATTATTATCGGGTTGCTTTTCGTCTGGGTGATAATTTTCCAAAACATATTGCTTTAATTCTCCTGTATTAAATGTTAACTTTTGACTGTCTTCTGTGACAGTATCAGATAGTTGTTCAGCATGTATCACCGTGATGCCCTCGGATACTTGATCTTCTAGGTGCTCTTCTGTTTCGGTTATTTCCTGCTGTTCTGGCGCGACAATAGTCGTCTGTTCCACTTCGTCTGCAGCTGGCTTTTCATCATTTGGCTCGTCGGTTGTCTCAGACTGCTCTTCTAGAAGAACTGGCAAGTCTGGTCCTTCCTCCTCCAATTCGGGCAAGGCGTCAACAACTTGCTCCAACAAAGGTTTCCGGCATTCTTCGTCTTTATCGGGTTCCCGTTTCGGATGGCCTTGCTCTAAAAAAGACTGATTATTGTCATCTTTCTGTGTGCCGTCGGTATCGGGAATATTTGATTCGAGGGAAGTTTCTTCTTGATATTTAACAGTTTCGCCTGTAATTTCCGGTTTCTTAGGAACGTCCTCAGCAATTTCGTTTTGTACATCCCCTTCGCCACCACCGACTTCTTCCTCAACCTCCTCAGCTTCCTCATCTTCCTCTTCGTAGTAGCATTCCTTATCTTCCTCTTCTTTATCATGTGCTTCGGCAGGGTCTTGTATCACCGGGATCTGTTCTGAAGGAAGTTCGGTTACGTTGACTTGGTCTACTTCAACGCTAGCCTCTACAGTGGATGATTCGCCTTTTCTGTCTGGCACTGACTGTTTATCGGGTTCGCGTTTGTCAAGACTTTTCTCTAAAAAATACTGATTATCATTCCCGCTAGCCACATCGTCTTCTGCTTTTGATTCTGGCGGAACTTTGGTTTCGGCTGGTGTATCATCTTCGAGACTATTTGTAAAAAATGCTGCACCGACAACTGGTTCCTCTACTGTTTCTTCTTTCTCGGATTCTGTAACATGTTCGTCATCATCTTCAACGGGACTCTCTTCGTTTATTTCACCTTCATCCTTTCCAACTATCGGTTTAGTTTCCGCCAAAGAAGAATCACAACCTTGTGGTTCTAAGCGCATTGATTCTAAGGATCTTCTCTCTTCTGCTACCCTGTCTGGGAATATTTTACTTTGAGCTTTGGCCACTTCTGATGGGAGGCCTAAATGAGCTGGGAATGGTAGTTTAAACGGATTTTCTGTATTGGCCTCATCATCATCTTCGTTCATTATAGCGTCAACCCGGGGGTGAGCCGATCGAGGTCTCTTGGGGGATTTACATGGCTGTGGTACTGGTGGTTTAGCAAGAGCAGACTGTGGACGAATATACCCGCTTCTGGAAGTTAGCGTTGCTTTTGCTCCATTAACCTTTAATACAGGAGAAGCTGAATCGTCTGGGTCTGGTGATATTTGGGAATCACTACAGCCTCCATCGTCACTCTTTAGTCCAGAATCAACACTTCTTTTGGAATTTGTGACCCGATTTATTCGCTTTTGAGACATTTCTGGTAACAGGACCTTAAGGTCAGGATCTGGCTCGGCTTTAGCTTTGGCCTCCAGTTCCGTCTTTTTCTTCTCTGTGTCTTCTACCCTCTTCTTCTTCAACCATTCGCTGTAACTCATCTGTGACTCCTCGGTGGATTTATCTGTTCCCTCTGGACTTACTGTTTCTTCTTTGGGCTTAACTTTCAATCGGATTCGTCCTGCTGGTGATCTCTTGTACATCATTTTGCTGTTAGGGGGATGAGGAATAGGACCACTGGAAACGTTTTCGGTGTTCGTTGAAGTTGACGGCTCACCGATGGAACTCTCGCCTGCATTTTGCTTTCTAGAGCCCGATACAGGTCGCATCCAACTTTTTCCTTCAACAAACTCCATGGTCCTTTTTTCCTTTTCTTCTTGTTTCTGTTGTTCTAGCCTTTTCTGCTGTTCACGTTCTGCCTTCGCCTGTTCATACGCTTCCCTTCTCTTTCTCCTCATCCATTCCTGGACTTTTGATTTCCCAGCCTCGTGGGCCACCTGTTTAACACTTTCTCGCATCATCGAGTCCTGTCTCTTTTCCCGTTTTTCAGCTCTCTCTGTCGCCTTTTGCTTACGAAGTTGCAGGTTCTTTTTGTGGAGCCATTGCTTTATCTTTGGATTCTCTGTTTCTTTGAGCTTATGGTCTGTGGGTACATACAAACGGCCTGGTGAAGTATTAGGGGATGGTGAACCTGAACTTCTTGACTTTGAACGTTGACTTCCTCGGTCGGATGACTTCTTGCGGGATGGCCTTGTTGAACTTCTGGAGCTATTTAATGACGTCGTGTCTAGGTTGATATCGATCCTCTTGGGGCGATAACTCTCCGAGTCACTACATGTCTCCCGGCGAGATTTGGCACTTTTAGATCTGATATGACTTCGTGGTGGACGATATTTGGTGAAATGTTGAAGGGTTCTGATGGTGCTATATGCTTCATCAGAGTCACTTGGTACTGAAAATACATTTAAAACCAAATCCAAGTATAATCAAATGTTTGACATTTAAAACAGGCGAATCTGTATTAATTCATTCCTTATTTCGATTAATTTCAAAATTGTTTTTGCATGTAAGTAGAATTCCCATAAAATGGTCCAAGCCCTCAAACACGCATGATGTCAAAGTCAAGAAAATACATTGGTGCAATAATAGTGATGCCCGGGGCAAACTCCTTCATTTTGTGCCCGCAAAGTATTGGTTCTAGTATTCCGAAATGTGAGAAATGACATGTCAAAATAAATAAAGTAGGGTAGCTTGTACAACAAAGGTTAACAGCGATAATTTCACGTGTCAAAAACTTAATTCAACTCCTTGATTGGGTGTCCCACGGTGAGAGAGATGAGGTGGGTAACGTCTACTCGACTCATTCATTAAGGGTCTAACATATAGAGGACCCGGGGAAAATCCACGAGGTTTCACTCCTTCATTGGGTGTCCACTTAAAATAGTGAGAGGGATGAGGTGGGTGAAGTCTACTCGACACAAACCAATTCATTGAGGGTCTGTAGAGGACTCGGAGAAGATCCACGAGGTTGGGCAGGCGACGCTATTCCCTGTCACATAGAAGCTTGTGATCTAAACCAGTCCACTTGACTCAATGACAGACCATATTATCTTAAGCGCATGCGCTAGGCCACCCTATAATTTGAACAGCCTCAGTTTGTGGCTGATAATTTCTCACGGGTATACAAGTATTAAAAGGGGGGTGGGGTGGATGTCCGAATAGTTAGCGCGTGCGCGTTGTATCATAAGGTCTGTCATTGAGTCAAATGACGTGGTTTCGATTTCCAGGTTGTACGTGACAAGAAGTAGGGTCGCCTGTCCAACCTCGTGGATTTTCTCCGGGTCCTCCGGTTTTCTCCCACTGCTAAAGACCCCTACACGCAAGCGAATTTTTGAATTAAAAGTGAACCATATGTTGGTCCCGAAATGACCCAGTTTGTGTCGAGTGGTCGTTAAAACCCATTTCTCATACAAGTATTAAAAATCAGGACAAGCTGTCTTACCTCTGACGTGAGCTGAATGTGGTCTTTGTTTTGATCCCGTGGTATATGCGTATGGTCCTGTAGGTGGCAGACCATGACAGGAAAGGTTGTACTGTTGACGTAAGACCTCCATTTGTCCTATATGCTGGTGAGTTAAATTTGTTTTCTTCTCTACGAATTGTCTATTTAATAAACCTTCAAGTTCTATATATTTTTGTTCTATTTTTTTCTCTATGGCGCCGTCTATATTTATATGACGTCTAGGAACTTTTGGGCGTTTTCTTAATTTTTTACTCCGCCCTATCACAGAACCTTCCTCGCTAATAGTTTGAAAAGAATTTTCATTAGTATCTGAAACGTCCACGGATTCTTTTTTCTTTATTTTCCGCTTCTTTTTACTTTTGGATTTATTTTTCACTTTCTTTTTGGATTTAGATTCGCCGTTAATTTCTATGTCATCTGCGCACGTACTTTCCACTCCATTTTCACCGGAGTTGTCCACCTTGTCGACGCCATCTTCATTGTGCACGTTCTCAGAATCTGTCTCGCTGTTGGTTTCCGATGAATTGGTTGTTATTTCATCTTCATTGTGAATTTTGTTATCCGAATTTGTGGCCATGTCACCAAATGAATAGATAAAATATTTAGTTCTTTGCTTTCTTTACTATTGTAATGGAATCATTATACGTCCACGACCTGAAATATACGTATAGAAAATTAGAATCGGGTCTGTATGAATGAATGAATGAATGAATGAATATACACTGTATTAATTAATTAATTACGAGCGAATTGGAAATCAACACTGAAATGAAATGGGGTTTAACGTCCTATTTTTCTGCTCCGACTGGGCTAATGAAGACGGGGATACGTTATGCAGTGTGCTATGAGAGAAATTTTGCACTATGACCTACTCTTATATCGAATTCCAGCTGCAAAGGGATCTTTTAATTGCACGCTAATGTGTACACGAGATCTCGGTTTTTCGTCCCATCCGAACGACCTGACAACTGTCCTTGTCAGGCCCTCCGTCTTGCACCACTGACAAGGAGAAACCACGTCGGACGCCCCTCCCACCCACCCCACACCCCTTCCGCCAGCACTTACTAAAGATTGTAGATTTTTAATCAGTACAAGAAAAGGGCAAGATCCGTAATACGCCCCCTTTTTTTAAAGCTATCAATACCTAGTACATGCATGTCTGTACTATACACCCGCAATTATACATTCCAATGATTTACTATACACCCGAGTATTTAATTATACAATAGATATCTAGGTTAAGGAAATTCATAATCCTTTGTATAGAAATCATGACGGTCGTAAATCTTAATAGATCAATGGAAGTAGTTATGACTTGGTAATTGATGAATTAACGGTGCTACCAAGGTCCCTCTATTTAATACATGTTGTAATACAGTAAGTATGTATATAATAGTTACTAGGTAAATACTATGGTAGATAATACAAATATACACAGACAGCTTACTGTATATAATATCACTAATAAATACATTATAAATACATGCCATTATCATTGAATATATGCCTGGACTATTCCATTCACTCCCTATACACGTGTAATGCATAATGGTATGACATGTAGGCCACGATGTACACCTATTTAACATGAAACATATTTGTACGTACATTACTGATTGATTGTGCCGCTTAATATGTGGGCGTCCTAACGACTAAGTGTACGTCGCAACAGTTATGGTAAAATCGCAATGGCTATTTGAAATTCGCAACGGCTATTTAAACGTGACAAAGGCGAAATACATGTACCAACCATATCTCATACAAACGAGAAGTGGTATCATGTCCTGGGCAGAGTAGGCATACATGTACCTCCGAGCTTGACGCCTGTCTCTGTTGCTTAATGGAACTATTAATGGACAAACTTGTAATATTATATTTATGCATCTACAATTCGGTTATAAAATAACAATTTCAGAAATAAGTTCAGAGAGAGAGAGAGAGAGAGAGAGAGAGAGAGAGAGAGAGGGAGGGGTTTAAAGTCCATTCGACACAATCTAGGTCATTTCGGGACTAACACATGATTCAATTTCTTTCAATGATTCGCTTGCGCGTAGGGGTCTTTAGCAGTGGGAGGAAACCGGGGGACCCAGAGAAAACCCACGAGGTTGGACAGGCGACTCTACTCGTTGTCACGTACAACCGGGGAATCGAAACCACGCCAGTTGACCAAATGACAGACCTTGCGATACAACGTAACAACGTGCACGCGCTTACCATCCCCCCCCCCCTTTCCTCCTTCCGTGTACCTACAAAACAAGAGTCTTGTTTTAGAGTTTTAGCGATAATTAATCTTCTATTTCGACGAATGGACATTATCTTTTTCTTATGGTAGGAAGACATTTCTGAACGGTAAAAAGAACAGAATGAATGAATGAATGAATGAATGAATGAATGAACGAACGAATTGGAATTCAACACTGAAAGTAAATGAAATGAAATGGAGTTTAATGTCCTATACTGTTCTGCTCCGACTGGGCTAATGAAGACAGGCTTACGCCATACTACATGTATGGGCTATGAGGGAAATTTTTGCCCGGGCAGCGGCACTATGACCTACTCTTATATCGAATTCCAACTGCCAAGGGATCTTGTACGTACACGCCAATGTGTACACGGGACTTCGGTTTTTCGTCCCATCCGAACGACTAGACAGTTGTCCTCGTCAGGCCCTCCGTCCTACATCACTGACAAGGTGGAACCCACGCTGGAAAATCTGGATGAACTTTTCTCGGCCAATGCCGGGATCGAACACCCGACCTCCAGACTAGCGAGCCAGCGTCTTACCCACTTAGCCCCCCCCCCCCCCACACACACACACCGAAAGCTTTTAAGAACAGAATATCAGAAAGAAATTTGTAACATGTGAGATACCGGGAATACGTTTTTATGTATAGGCCTAGTTCAGTTTCTTTAACAAGTTTTAACAGTATAAATACACATGTAGGCCTACATGTAATATTAATATATACACGTAAACATGTAGATACAACATAGTATACTCGAGTAAGAACACATACATGTATGAACGGTAACATCGTTATACAGGATAAATATTATGAGATACAATGGGAAATACACAAAATAAAATAATAAACTGAAGTTTGACCGAAATATTTCAAGTATGTCCGTTTCTTTAAACAAGTTTTATCAATATATAATATTTACCTGTTCTTCTTGTCAAGTGTACACTGTTCAATATCCTTGAATATATATCTACAGAATAACTTCCCACTGTTTTTCACTTCAAAATCGAGATGACTCCCCTACCATTGACGGTTATCAGAACATGATAAATTACTCCATAACATCTGTTAACGAAAAACAATTCAAGTGTAACACCGATAACACATAACACGTTGTCCATACATGTTTACCGTTCCTAATATAAACAGTTACTTCTGTCATCTCACAGTTGTACTCACTCCCTCGGAAAAGTAACGGGACAATCAATCATTTTATTAATCCATTTTGGACTTTTAAATAACACAAACAATACACGAATCGTTCACGTTATATTACTTTATTTTATAAGAAAGACAAAATAAATATCTAAGCAAAACTGTAGGAAAATTACAACATTTTGGGTTATTTTCAGCGGGAGGACAAAGTAACAGCGCTCGACTTCATTTTACCGTTTTCTTTCGCGAGAGTTGTGTGGATCCATAGCAACGACCGGTAGCGTCAAAATGGCGACCTTTAATACAATTAAAGTTTAATTTATGAACAGTTGTAAACATTTAAGCTGAATATATATATTTTTAATTTAAAATAGAAGTAAGTTATTTAATTAAATATCTAAATGTTGTAATATAATTAGTAAGTAAATAAAACAATGTGATGTTATATTTTGACAGGTGGTTGTTGAATTATTAATTACAAAGACAGGAAAGAAAAATTGACATGCACATGTTGTATGACTGATTGATCATTAAATCTAATTGATCCCATTTATTAATCATAACGTTGAAATTCGATACAAGAAAACAACAAAATTAATGGATTCCTGTTGTCTTAATTGACAGAAAAAAATGAACTATCACTAATTTGATTTATATGATATCAAAAGCACAGTGATATTTTAATACCTAGGCTTATTTAGCACAGTTTAATTACTTGTAAGAAGTTTTCCCTATGTCTACATTTGTATTTGCTAGAAAATTTCTGATGTGCTTAAAGGGACAATAACACTCTTGCTGGCTTGACAGCTCCAGTAAATAAATATTAGCCTTATTCTAAGTATTAGATGTTTATGTGTCCTAACTGTTGTGTTACTTATCCATTACATCCTATTTTACTTCTCCAGAGGGTTCGAAAATATTTTTAAATCCAAGTCACATTTGAAAAGGTTTACGTTAGGCTTTTCAAATCATTTAGTTGAATTTTTCCAATTTTTTAAATTAGGTGTGTTAAGATGAAATTTGTATCATCAATTAATTGGAATACTGTAAAATAGTACAATTTGTTGACCAGAATAAAGATTGGGACATATTATTCAGTTACAACAAGAGTGGTATTGAGCCTTTAAAGGAGGTATGGCTCTAATTTTTGGAACCATAAATAGTAAAAGGTGTATATAAAGTGATTTATATTCAATTTTTTTAAACAAAAATATTGTAATTTCTAGTCATTTATGTTTGGTGAAATACGTGAACAGTCCAAAGTGTACGGCAATCGTTTACGCCTACTTATCCCATTCATGATTCTTCATGGTTTTTTTTAATTATTATTTTATCATTTGTGAATCAGCCCTTACTATTTACTGCCACATTGTAATTTAGGATATGTTTTTCTTTAATCATTGCTTTTGTGCCCGAAACAATAGTGTACATGACTCATGTACGGATTTTAAAATGTTCATTGTGTTGTAAATATTTGATATTAGGGTCCCACATTTCCACGGCAATATATATAACAACGTCAAAAATGGATTGAAATGGACCAACATTGAATTCTAGTTTGTTTTTTTAATTTCGAATATTATGGAAAATGTTGAGTTAGAGACTAAGCTTCTTTAAACTACACTAAAATGTAGGCTACTCAAAACTGATTAGTTAACATTTAATTCAGAAAACAAAATCAGACTATAATCTCCCGAGGGTTTGGATTCAAACTTTAAAAAGAGGTCCATCAAATGATTTTAGCAAAGATTATAGGTGGAACTGGATTTTTGGGGCTATCTTCTATATACAGGGTGACCCCAAAAAAATGCCACTCATGAAAACGTCAATTACATGCAAAGTCCTTTTTGCATTTTATTCATATTTCGCCAGTACCGAGTAGTGTCGAATGGTACTGAATGTTTGTATTGTTGACTCGCGTAAACGAGTGTCTCTCTCTCTTCCGGTTCCTTCACTGACCATGCTGGATTATTAAATATTCATCTTTGACAAAGTTGTTCGTTGAGTGTTCGTCCAAAGTGTGACACTATTGACTGGCGTTTGGTACAAATAAACTTTAGTCAATGCCTGACATTTCTACCCAGTTTCAAAGATTTTGCATGTAATTGACGTTTTCATGAGTGGCATTTTTTGGGGGTCACCCTGTATCGTCTCTAGAGAATGTTGAATGTTGCAATTCATCATATATCTTTATAGATAATGAGAGAAAGAGAAATGACGATCCGAGAGTAAGATATATTTATTTTATGATCAGTAGTAGAATACCGCGTTTTATCAGTGAAATAAAAGTGTTATTCCACTGGCTAAAGAAGTCCATGTTGTTTTTACCTAAAATGATTGTAAAATCATAAAATAAATAGAACATTTGGTGTTTTGTCGTGAATAACATATTTTATTTCATCTCTAAGCAAGAAAACGTTTATATTTTCACTCATGCTACGCATTCGTGAAAATATAAGTTTTCTTGCTTCTCGATGAAATAAAATATGTTATTCACTCTAAAATGACAAATATCCTCTATATATAAAGAGAGAAATGGGGTTTAACATCCACTCAACACAAACGAATTATAGAAATAAAAAATTGAACCATAAGTTAGTCCTGAAAGAACCTAGTTTGTGTCGATTGGATGTTAAACCCCATTTCTATCTCTCACTTTCTATTTGTCGAATCCCCGGTTGTACGTGACAAGGAGTAGGGTCGCCTGTCCAACCTCGTGGGTTTTCTCTGGGTCCTCCAGTTTCTTCCCACTGCTAAAGACCCCTACGCGCAAGCGAATTATTGAAATAAAATTAAACCATATGTTAGTCCCGAAATGACCTAGTTTGTGTCGAGTGGGCGTTAAACTCCATTTTTCTCTCTACATCTAGCCTCGGCTGTATGGCGGTAGATGATATGTACCTACGCCTATGCAATTGCGATGCGGCACTGGTTTACTTATTAGGAAAACTTGCCACTTCTAAAACCAAGTTCTCAAAATTGCGTAGTTGCAGAGTGTGTAGAATTTTCAGTGCAAAGTTGTCCAGTTTGAAGAAAATCGGACAAACTTGAAAGTAAAACAGCTTCAGACTTTGAAATATTTGTATGATAAAACATTCTTCAAAGGCATCGTCATGGGCAACGCCGTTGGTAATCCGGGAACTTGAAAGTAGTTCCAATGATGGACATCGTCATACAGCCGAGGCTAGATGTAGGTACTGGAATCTGCTAAGGTTTGCCGAGTGCCCTATGCGCAAGCGAATTATTGAAATAACAGTAAAACCATATGTTAGTCCCGAAATGACCTAGTTTGTGTCAAGAGGAGTTAAACCCCATTTCTCTCTCTCGTGCCTTTTAGTACATGTAGGGCCTACCATATATCTAATCTGTTTCTGCAGTTGGATGTGGAAAGTTTGCCCCTACATGTTGGTTAATCAACATTTGACAACATTTTTTATTAAATAACAAATTCCAAATTTATATCTGTGTTGTAGGTTCAGTTATGTCCCTTGATGCCATGACAACGATAGATGAACGGGAAAGATTGATTCCGGAGTGCCAGCCATGTTATTCTGGTTTTAAACCCAGGCCTGTCGAAAAACTAGCAACACGAAGAAAACCCGTATCTGTTCTAGACATAGAATGTAGAAACTTTTTACGGACCAGCTCCAGCGATTTTACGAATGGACAACCGTCGGTGGAACAGAGATTATGGATGGAAGCCGGTAAATGTGGTCCACCATATCCTCAAAAACCTGACGCCAGCTACAATAGTAATGTTTGGCGAAACTTTCGCAAGCAGTTTGGCTTTAATACCTCCGCCGAAGGGCGGAAGATATCGGAAGTTATTGCAGCAATGTATCCCTTAAATATCCCTCGGCCATCTAAAATAGGTGATCATAGCTTTACGAAATATATAAGTGAGAGTAATTTATTCCAAGATGAAAAATTTAAAGACATAGCAATAAGACGAACACGAGCCGATCATCAGGAATTGAAGAGATTAAAAATAAAAAGTGATGGTAGAAATCCACCAATAGATCAAGATGGTAGGACTAGCTATTTTATTTATTTTTATATCCCCACATTTTCATGTGGACATATATTGTCGTCGCCCCTTGCCATTCGGGCGTCCGATCACAAATTGTTTGTGGACACAATTTTTATCCGATTTTCATGAAACTTTAAATATATGTTTATATACAAAAGATCTCAGTTCCTTTCAAAATTTGTGCAGAACAGACACTAAGCTAGTTAACCGACATTTTGATAATTTCTATATCGACAAATTTATTTGAAACATTAAGTATACTTCGCAAATTGTGACCAATATTTATTTTGCTTCCATTTCATAAAATAGAAACGGTTTATTTAGTCTTATGTTTACCACCCTTTCTTAGATTACCCTTGTTTTTACCACCTTCTCTTAGATTACCCTTGTTTTTACCACCTTCTTTTAGATTACCCTTGTTTTTACCACCCTCTCATAGATTACTCTTGTGTTTACCTTCTTTTAGATTACCCTTGTTTTTACCACCCTCTCTTAGATTACCCTTGGTTTTACCACCTTCTCTTAGATTACCCTTGGTTTTACCACCTTCTCTTAGATTACCCTTGTTTTTACCACCCTCTCTTAGATCACCCTTGTGTTTACCACCCTCTCTTAGATTACCCTTGGTTTTACCACCCTCTCTTAGATTACCCTTGGTTTTACCACCTTCTCTTAGATTACCCTTGGTTTTACCACCTTCTCTTAGATTACCCTTGGTTTTACCACCTTCTCTTAGATTACCCTTGTTTTTACTACCCTCTCTTAGATTACCCTTGGTTTTACCACCTTCTCTTAGATTACCCTTGTTTTTACTACCCTCTCTTAGATTACCCTTGTTTTTACCACCTTCTCTTAGATTACCCTTGTTTTTACCACCTTCTCTTAGATTACCCTTGTTTTTACTACCTTCTCTTAGATTACCCTTGTGTTTACCACCCTCTCTTAGATTACCCTTGTGTCATAGGGTAAAAAAAATGCTTGTATGACCTCTGACATGACCTTCCACTACAACGGGTCAGATCTTCATGTAGTGTAGGCTATCGAAAGTATATAAAAATGAAACAAAATATAGATCTGTATTTTAGTCAGAATGCAATATTATTTTTTTTTAATTTTTCAGGAAAAATTTTACCTCCAGAGAATTTTAAGAAGTATGTTCATCGTTTTATCCCCCCTCCTGGTGACCGTGATTTCCTGTCGTCCCCTCTACCGGAGGAATTGTGTAAACCGGATCTATTCGGACGACGCTACAACACAACAAACAGACCGGATTATAAACCCCACTTGTGGAAATTAACATATCGTTTAAATAAACCAGAATACGACGCAGTTCAGACAGCCATTCGAGAACGAAAAGAGAGAAATAATGGAAGAAAAACTAGTCGGGCCGCTCCGTCGCCAGCATCTTTATGAAAAAGATTTTTGTGACATTCTTGTTGGTTAACCCTTATGACCCGAGCGGCCGAAAGACCGGCCTGGATGCTCCTTGACTGGAGTACCGCTCGGGTCTTAAAGGGTTAAATAATTGTATATTTTTGGCCCGTTTCATTCTATTTGGGTCAGTGTGTCGTCAGTGTGTCTGACTTTCCGTATCAGTATTGTGGTATATCTTGCTCAAAAACATTTATGCTATTTCATAATTAATCCCCCATATGCCATCAATCTGATTAAAACACAGATTCAATTTTTTTTTCGTTTTTTTATAGTTCAAAATTTCGTTTTACTTGTCTTTACTACACTGGGATCTGGAAGAGTTGTTATATTAGCGGCATTTTGGTTGAAGTGAGGGATAAGCCAATGAAACGGTCTGTTACAGCGACTTCTTGGCGTGCCATGCACGGAACTATGGGTAAACTACTAGAAAAGCCAACGCTGACTGATTAATCAATGTCTGACATCATAGGGTCAAAACTCAAAAGCCACTCGTACGACCCCTGAAAGAACCTTCAAGTACAACTTGTCAGATCTTCATGTAGTGTAGGCCATTGAAAGTATAAAAAAAAACGAAATGAAATATAGATCTGTATTTTAATCAGATTGAGATGCCATGAAATGTTCTGCTCTGACTCGACTAATGAAGACGGGCATACGCCATACAGTGTGCTTAGGGGGGAATTTTGCCCCAACAGTGGCACTACGGCCTATAGGATTTTTTTACATGCATGCCAATTTGTACACAGGACTTCAGTTTTCGTCCCATCCGAATGACTATACATTGTCGCATAAAAATGAAATGAAACAGGGGTTTAATGTCCTACTCTGATTAGGATGATGAACACAGGCAAGGGACCTCAGTTTTTCGATATAAGAGTGGGCCGTAGGGCCACTGTCCGGGCAAAATTTCCCTCATAGCACACAGTATGGTATATGCCCATCTTCATTAGTCCAGTCGGAGCAGAACAGTAGGACGTTAAACCCCCAAAACTGGGAACCCACCTGGAACGTCTTGTTTATTGAGCCAGCCCTTACTAAGTCACTACGGCTCCCATCTAATCTGAAGACTCCCGAAAACAACTCTATAAAGTATTGTCTTGATGGAAACAAACGTAAATTTCTAGTATGTAGTCAAATTGAAAATTATTTTCCTACTAACTGAAAGAGATCTCCCAAGTGCTAATGCCTCTTTGATGTTCATATTGAGTTACTCAAGCACTACTCTGTTATATATAATTCTAAAGTCCAAACAGTATTATTATTATTATTACCTCTTTCTATTTTGCTATTGTATATAATCATACTATATATATATTTGATTATTTTATGGTTTGAAATAAACGATTTTATCTTTTAAGTAGCTAAGTCTCTAACTCTATATCATCCAAAGTCTTACATGTTGAAAATACGAATTATTTGTCAATTCAAATCAACATTGATGTTTTGATCTTACCAGGAAAAGGTAGACTTCTGATATCCAAAATAAACATTTTACCATTGGTACACGAATCGTGTACCATAGTGCGTTTCAGCGTCATTTATAACAAGTGACCAGAAAGAACGAGGCTAGACATATTCCACAACTTATTTCAAATGGTGACACCATATCTTATCTGGAGAGCATGCGCAACAGACTGGAATAACCAGACGCTAGAAATTGCTATTTGGTTGAGACTCCTGTCCTATTTCGCTGGACATAACTGATTTGAAATTGAGTCCAAACGGAAACTATTGAATGTAAATCAGTTTATATACAATCAGATTACATTATTATATGCGTTGCGACCCATTTGGGTCAATTTCTAGGTCCCAAATATTAGCGATTTTATCTTTTAAAAATTATAAAGTTATATTTTCTGTTGACAATGCATATTTTATTTTATTTCATAATTAATGAAAAATTTACATCTGTGAAATGAACATTATAAATACATGTATACCATCCAATTAACAATTTCAAATAATTATAAATATATCATCATATTAAACCATCTGGTATGATAAAATTTGGACACAAATGATTTATTTAACAACAAAAGTGCCATGTTCTATTAAACATACATTATGCAAGAGGTAAATCTGTCTATTTCAGATCTTTCTTAAGGCCTGAAATGTTTCTAAATTATTAATTAGACATTAATTAATTATACAGACCATAATCAACTCTTGATGTCATCGGATATCTCCGATATTAAGTAGATTAGAACGGTTCAGCCATATTTTGATTTAATCTTAAAATGGAGAAGTGAAGCTAAGCTTCGAACAACCTGTGCAGTGGTTGCAATTAATGCACACATCTAGTCAAACCTTCAAAGGCTAATATCTTTGCTCGCAATGGAGCAATTTGAATGAAATTTCAATAAATTCATTTTACATTATCTATTTTTGAACTATTATAGTAAGAATGGCTAGCTCTTAAATCTAAATCTTACAAAATGTATCTTTAATTTGGTCACTGGAATAAATGCCAACGTAGTAAACGAGTGTCATTCATGATTACTGCTAGCAATAGATAATCCCAGAAATCATTTTGTAATTCAATATAAAATACCTTTTGGGGGGGACTAGCATTGATGCCGAGTTATCTGTTTAACGTTATACGGAATGATACAACCTTGTGACTCCGATCAAACTTCTTCATAAGATTTATGAAGCAAGGGTAATAACAGGACAGAACACCTTCCGATGATATTTGGTGAGTTTTTTGTTTACCGCTAAATGAATGTAACGATAAACCACCGTTGATCAAAATTGATGAAACAAGTCCAATGACAGGAAAGACACACCATTTTAATGATATTAAGTCATGTAGAGCCATTAATAGTATCAACATCTACAATGTAGCATGGTTTTCTTAAGACAGATATTTTATAACTCCACAAATAGACTAACCCAATTTCATATCTTAACAAATAGACTAACCCAATTTTATAAAAATTTGACAAAAATCTTTGATCATTGCTAAAAGATGAACATATAAATAACAACATATATACATGGTGAATCAATTAAGCATCATTAAATATATACAATTCAATGTGGGAAGTGTTATCTGATGGTATATAGTACTTTTAAAATTGTGAACATAGTAGAAGTATAGTACACCCACGTCCCATGGGGGTGTCGGTGGGGGACACTATAAACAATAATAGAAGAAGTCCCAGTCTCCTACATTGGGCTCTTCTTCCAAGTTTCTTAACAAAACACTTGTCTGCAATATCACCCAAGGTGAAAGTGGAAGTTAAGCCTCAAAGAATGAATGAATGTCCCAGTTTCGACAAAACAGCCAATAACTCCTATCATTGGCAGAGGACCAAAATTGAGTTTTCCAACCAAATGGAATGAAATTTTATGTCTAATCAAAGCAATAATTCATGAGAATTTCACTCATAATTAAAGTTCTCAGCATTCGTTTGATTGGCCGATCCACTGCCGTTCGTTGCCAATCATAAGTCACGGACCATTTGGACATGCGCATGACATAAGATCCGTACAATGTTGGCGATAGCAGATAATTACATATGTACATTTTGTCAATTTTCAAATTCTACACATGTCTAAAATTCGAAAAAGATGTATCCTTTTTGGAATGGATTAATTATATTTGTCCAAAAATTCCCATAGTATGGTGTTAGCGTGACATTAAACCCTGTTGCTTTTATTTGGGTCAGAAATATAATTATCAATTGAGAGAGAGAAATGGGGTTTAATGTCCATTTGACACAAACTAGGTAATTTTGGGACTAACATGGCCCAATTTGATTTCAATAATTCACTTGCACGTAGGGATCTTTAGCAGTGGGAGGAAATCGGAGGACTCGGAGGAAATTCACGAGGTTGGACAGGCGACCCTACTCCTTGTCACATATAACCGGAGAATTGAAACCATGCCATTTGACTAAATGACAGACCTTATGATGCAGCGCGCACATACTCACGAACATGAGATGCGGTAACATTTCAGATATGGGGGATCACGTGGCTAACCTTTCGGCCATCCAACCCCCCAAAATATTAACAGTAGATTCAATTGAATTCAAAAAGAGACCATGAAAAGAAATTAACAAGATAGAGAGAGAGAACGAGAAATGGGGTTTAACGTCCACTCAACACAAAGTAGGTCATTTCGGGACTAACATATGGTTAAATTTTATTTCAATAATTCGCTTGCGCGTAGGGGTCTTTAGCAGTGGGAAGAAACCGGGGGACCCGTAGAAAACCCACGAGGTTGGACAAGCGACCCTACTCCTTGTCACGTACAACCAGGGATTCGAAACCACGCCAGTTGACCTTATGATACAGCACGCAGGTGCTAACCATTCGGCCACCCACCCCCCCAGAAATTAACAAAAAAATTGTTTATATCGTCGGCAGAGGATGACATGTTGCAAAATTTTACCATAATATAGGAGATTGCTCGAACACTATACAAAATGATTTTCATCAGTTTTATATTATATTAGGTCTGGTTAATTTCAAATCAGGTCACATTTCAAGTCACGTTTCTTTTAGGCCAGGTAATTTTAGGTCACATCATTTCAAGTCACCTTTCTTTTAGAACATGTTAATTTCTGGTCTCATCAATTTTAGGTCACCTCAAATTTAATTTTAGGACATGTTAATTTCTGGTCTCATCAACTTTAGGTTATGTTAATTTCAGGTCACATTTAGTTCAGGTAACATATATTTCAAGCCATTTTAATTCCTTGATATATCAAATCCTTACAGATGATACAGTTGACTATGATACAGTGTAATATAATCAACTCTTGATATATCAAATCCTTACAGATGATAAATTTGAGTATGATACAGTGTAATATAATCAACCCTTGATATATCAAATCCTTACAGATGATAAAGTTGAGTATGATACAGTGTAATATAATCAACCTTTGATACTAACAACAACAATAATAGATACAATGGCTGCCACAACTAAAAATATCACAAGTAGACAACACATCTTCTTTCTTGCCTTTTTCTGAAATAAAACAATAAATTCATAAAATTCCCCCATATAGGTTACGAATAAAGTCATGTCTTAAAGGCTCAATACCACTCTTGTTGTAACTGAATAATATGTCCCAATCTTTATTCTGGTCAACAAATTGTACTATTTTACAATATTCCAATTAATTGATGATACAAATTTCATCTTAACACACCTAATTTAAAAAATTGGAAAAATTCAACTAAATGATTTGAAAAGCCTGACGTAAAGCTTTTCAAATGTTACTTGGATTTAAAAATATTTTTGAACCCTCTGGACAAGTAAAATAGGATTTAATGGATAATTTACACAACAGGTAGGACACTAACACATCTAGTACTTAGAATAAGGCTATTTTTTATTTTCTGGAGCTGTCAAACCAGCAAGAGTGTTATTGTCCCTTTAAAGGACAATGCTGCCATCCAAATGATGGCCTATCATATATTTTTCAGTTTCAGTTCTAGATCTTAATGTTGCTGCATTGTTTGTTTTATCTGTAATTCATCAAACATTTATCCTGCCTGGTATACAAGTGTTTCAGTACAGATCTCTATTCTGCCTATACTTAAAGTCACTGATATCCAAACAATATCTAATTTTTTCACTGCCATATTAAAATGTTGATTATTTAATACAACAGTCGGGAGTGATGACAATATACAATGGAGTTAGAGAAATAGGGTTTATCGTCCAATCAACACAGACTACGTCATTTTGGGACTAACATATGGTTCAAGTTTATTTCAATAATTCGCTTATGCATATAGGTCTGCTAAAGACCCCTACATGCAAGCGAATTATTGAAATAAAATTGAACAATGTTAGTCCCGAGTGGAGGTTAAAACCCATTTCTCTCTCCCTCGTTCTCTCTCTCTCTCCAAATTTCAGCCCCCCTCCCCCGCCCCGACAACCCTAGTGTAGCCGCCAACCCTTAACAGACAAACAAATGACAGTGTCAAATATTAGTCTAGATTATAAAAACCAACCTGATATTGTGAAGCTTTATCTAATTGTTGATTTCCAGCCTCAACATTACCATACGTTCTTTCTACATTTGCTTCTATTGTATCTATAAATACATCATAATAATAATAATCTATATAGCGCCGACAATTCAACTACAGCGCTTTACATAAGTACAACGAATATAAAATTACAACATTCGCAACACAATAATCCATAAAAAAAGACATAAACAAAAAAACAGAGAACATTATTTAGTACATATGGTAAAAGTGTACGTCATTATACATCAATTGGGTTTTTTACTTTTTTTAACAGTGAACAAGAAATTAAACGCTTGTAAATTGGAAATTCGTTATCAAAATTAAATGGTCAGCTTTAATATGGACACAAGTACAAATTAGACAATTTTTAGTGTTTTTAAAGAATTTTCAAAGATTTGATATTGAAAGAATGTTAAAGAAATAAACTGCTAAATACGCAAGATTAAATGATACCTGGGTTACAGTGTGGGTTACCAGGCAACGAAACATACACCACAGCAGCTAAATCATCTGAGCAGTCGCTCAGTTGTTGAATGTTTATTTTTTTGTAGGTAATGAGAACGTTCAGTAATTAAAGCTGAGATCTACTTACCTAATGTTTCACCTTGTTCATTAATTAAAGCTCCTAAGTCACGGAAAATCTCATTTACATCTAAAATATCAGACTAAAATACAGAAAAACAATTTTACAATTTTCACATCAATTCAATCTAATTAAAATACATATCTATATTTATACTTTCGATGGCCTACATAAAGATCGTACCGGTTGTTGTGTGAGGTTGCGTCAGGGGTCATACAAGCAGCCTTTGACCCTATGACATCAGACATTTGATTAACCAATCAGCGTTGGTGTTTCTAGGGGGACACCCACAGCTCTGTGCACCGCACACCAAAAACACACTGCAACAGACTGTTTCATTGGCTGATCCCTAAAAACAACCAGAACGTGAGTTATATAACAACTCTTCCAGATCCAAGTGTAGTATAGACAAGTAAAACAAAATTTTGAACTATAAAAAACGGAACGAAATAGGATCTGTGTTTCAATCTGATTGACATGAACTCGTTTATTTTAGTGTATTCATCATTCTAGATACTCCAGAAAAAAGGTAGGTTGCCAGTCAAATTAAGATATTTATGAAAACAACCCTCAACAAATTTACAGTTATCCTATAATATTTATGTTCTGTGTGAGGGTAGGGGGTCTGGGGGTATCGCTATACACATATACTTTTGTTATTTTTATGCCATTATAGTCTTGACAAGGGAGGAGCACAATTGCCAGCAGGACAATTGCCGTCAGGATAATAATTGCTGTCCATATTGTTTCTATTTGTTATGTTATTTTTGTTATTCGCCTGTCCAACTCTGTGGGGTTTTTTCGGGTCCTCTGGTTCCACCCCACTGCTAAAGAACCCTACGCAAAAGTAAATTATTGAAATAAAATTGAACCATGTGTTAGTCCCGAAAAAGGACCTAGTTTGTGTTGTGCTGACTTTAAACCCCATCTCTCTCTCTATATCTCTCTCTCTCTCTCTCCCAAAATGACCTAGTTTGTATTGAGTGGTGTTAATCCTCTCCCATCCCTCTCCTCCTCCACTCTCGTCCCCCTCTCTCCCTCCCTCCCCCCCCCCCTCTCTCTGTTACCATAACAAATACAAATAATACAGCAATTGTCCCACCGACATCTGTCCTATATAAACATTTATATCCCCCTAAAATCCACTTCATACAGGCTCTAAGCATGTGCCAATGTTTATGAATTTCAAGAAATAGAATGTTTATCAACGTTCGGAGTATTACCTCTAACTGTCTGATTCTCTCCTCCCGTTCTCGTATTAAAGCAAGGTCATCATCTACGACCTGTTGTTGTTCCTGTAACTCGACTCTTCTTTCTTCCTGGCGATAAAACGCTGTCTTGTCCGAATAATCATCATCTTCATCCTAAAAACAATCAAATATTCATTCAAATATAATAAGGGCCTACAATAAAAATATTCAGGCCTCGAGTTCACAAAGCATTCTCAGATGTAAGTTAAGAATTTACTCAAAATTGTTCGCCTTATTTTAACTAAAATATAGCCCTTTATACAACTTTTATTTTAATATATCAAATACATCAATAAGAAACCATGTGCAAAGTTTTGTGTTTATGGATCAAAGATATTTCTCATAAACAGTGATTGAAAGTTGAGTAAATTTTTAAGCTTGGGAATGTTTTTTGAACTTGGAACCGGGTGTTCAGACAATCCTTCCACCCAATTTGATGTGAGAGGGAGGTTTTTATATTTGTTTTTTATTTTGACAAAGGATCACTACTGGGTTAAATGAATTCTCACGTCACATTTCAAGGCACAACATTTATCTCATCATGTTGTTTGTAGGAATGTATGATTGTCCAGTATCATTTATCTCATGTTGTTTATAGTAATGCATGATTATCAAGTATCATTTATCTCATCATGTTGTTTATAGTAATGTATGATTATCCAGTATCATTTATCTCATCATGTTGTTTATAGGAAAGTATGATTATCTAATGTCATTCATGATTATCCAGTACCATTCATGATTATCCAGTATCATTCATGATTATCCAGTAACTGATGGAATTAAAGAGATTGTTTGTATTTTTTAAAATAAAAATAGGCCATGTGGCCCTTGTTAAGTGACGCATCAGTATCTGAGAACCAGAACATATTTTTATCTACGGCCTGAAACAAAATGTTGTTTAACTGAATAATTTCTAACCACTTTCTATATATACTAAACATTATTTTAGAGTCATGATCACTTGTATGTTTTAATGACAATAATATTAATTAGTAAAAGGTCTTGGTTCATAAGCAAATGTTCCCTGTTTCACAGTGACAACTATTTGTTGTTTCTCTAATTCCTTTCTTCACTTGAAATCAAACCCAACAATCTAAGTACTTGTAATTTCTATATCTATAGCTTACATTCCAACCAGTCATTCCAGTGTCCACTAATGGTTTAGTTGTAGGTTTGTTGGTTCCTAGTTTCACGGAAGACTTCACTTTACCAGCTGCCATCTAAAATAAAAAAAACAACATTGTCTCGTTTAATTCGTTTCTAATAAATAATCCTCAGCAAATGGAATCTTTAATATCATACCTGTAAATAATTTATCTGTGAGTGAGTGAACCTGGTTACTACTCGTCAATCAAATATGAAAATTAGGGCTAACTATATCCTGGCATCTTATGATCTTACTTTATTTATGCGATGCAGATATATCTGTGTTTTATGAGAGGGAGAGAGAAATGGGGTTTAACTCGGCACAAACTAGGTCATTTGGGACTAACATATGTTTCAATTTAAATTCAATAATTCGCTTGAGCAGAGTTTTTTTTTTAATTAACTGTGGGAGGGAATTGGAAGATCTGGAGAAAACCCACGAGGTTGAACAGGCGATCCTATACTAGTTGAAACCATGCCACTTGACTCAATGACAGACCTAATGATCTAACGTGCACATGTTAACCAATCGGCCACCCAAACCCCTGCAGAAAGCAGAGATTATATGCCACTTCATTCCATTCCATGGAACTTTAGAACAAAGGTTTTAAACAATCCTTGTGGCTGGATAAACTATTCTATAATCAGAGGCATGTGTAGTGAATAATTCCTGCTATATGTTCATATTTTACTGTTTTTCAAAAATAATATAAATTTGACGCAAATTATGGCCACATTTTAATTACATCTTGGTATGAAATAGTCACATAAGTTTATCAATTTAGTCCCTATAAAAAAAATAAGTGAAAAAAAAAAAAATTTTTTTTAGCAGGGAGGCAGTGAAAACTGATAATCCTCTTTTACGAAACCTACCTTCTGTAAACCTTGGAAGCGTTCCACAGATTCCTGGAAATCATTCTTTAGTTTACTCAGTTGTATCTTTTGTTGCTGAAATAAAGAAAGATTCAGTCATTAATATCCAGTACACCAAAAACTAATTAAAAATTGTTTTCATAGCAACACAATTATTATCGAATCTGAGAAATTTCTAATTACCAAATGGTAAAAGAAAGAGAGAGAAAGAGAAATGGGGTTTAACGTCCACTGGATACAAACTAGGTCATTTTGGGACTAACATACGGTTCAATTTTATTTCAATAATTCGCTTGCGAGTAGGGGTCTTTAGCAGTGGGAGGAAACCAGAGAACCCGGAGAAAACCCACGAAGTTGGACAGGCGACCCTACTCCTTGTTACGTACAACCAGGGAATCGAAACCACGCCAGTTGACTCAATGACAGACCTTATGATACAACGTGCACGCGCTAACCATTCGTCCACCCCACCATCTACAATAAAAGTCTGATGTGTCTACATATAGATATCTGGATGGTTTATGAGATATGCTGTGGATACAAAATCATGACAGATGGACATAGAGAACTGATTTCAAAATTCCTATGTGACTTTGTTTGGTATAGGAGCTGCGGTGGCACAGTAAGTAAGAAAGACGTTGGCTCGCTAACCTGACGATCCTATTTTCAGTAAGTGGTGCGATCAGACGAAAACCCAAAGTCCCACATACACATTGAAGTGCACATAATAAAGATTCCTTGTCAGTTGGAATTTGATAGAAGAGCAGGCTTTTAGCACCTCTGTTCAGCCTCAGAAGCACACTCAATGGCGTATGTCCGTCTTCATTAGCCCAGTAGGACGTTAAAGCTCATTTTCATTGTTTGCCACAAGAGAATTATTCCACTGTTATTTCTACTTTGTATAAACAAATATTAAGACATGTTATATTAAAGGTTCAGTGAGTAAGATGTTGGCTCGCTAACCTGGTGGTCCCGTGTTCAATCCCGGTGTCGGGCAAGAAACTTCATCTGTAAGCTTTAGCATGGTTTTTCCCTTGCTAGTAGTGCTGGACAGGGGGTCTAGCCAGGGACAACGTATTGTTGTTTAGATGGGATGAAAACTATGTCCCATATACACATTGACCCGCACGTAAAAGAGCACTTAAAAGTTGGAATTTGAAATAAGAGTAGGCCGTAACGTGAGTGTCCGGGCAAAATCTCCCTAATAGCACACTGTATTGAGTATATATGCCAGTCTTCATTAGCCCAGTCTATAAAAATAGACAAACGGTTCTTCTGTGGAATTTAATTCCACTGCTCATCTGTGCTTGAACCTTTTCACTTACTTTATCAGCCCTTTTATTTCCAACCGATTTCATTATTCTCATTGTATCTTGTGCTATTTTATTCGTAGTCTGTGATATTTCATGTCTGAAACAAAACCAGGAAATATACTCTGTTGTCACGGCAAAACCATAAGTAGATTGTGAGCCGATTTACTGCATAACTTTTCTTCTCGATTAAACGATTAAATACAGTACGCCCGCCGCGACGCTTTGATGAAACACGATTATCGTGTCGTTTTTTGTTGAAAATTGCCACGATAACGCCACGATATTGCCACGATAAATAACTCGGTGTAGCAGTCGCTATCGTGTGCCACGATAGTCGTGCGACACGATAGGCCTCGGTGTAATTTTACATGCAAAATTAACGGTATTTATTTGTCATAAACAATCGATGTCAAAACGATATACAGCCACGATGTTATGAATGTTGAATATTTTAATAATACGGACGCATTAGGTCACGTTGTATAGTTAGAACATGCGTGTTCACATATTCTGCACGATATATGCGGTTACATTTCCAACCAGTCATGTAAAGCTGCATGTCTAGTACACTTTGAAGGACACGTATGCATAAGACTATACATGTATTACACAGTTTAGATATTTATGCCGTGTTCAAATTGTTTTGCATATTTACTATATTATGAGTTTATAGTTAAGAACTACTCTCGAATCACGGCAAAGATAGACTTTTAAATTGCAAACTATAACGGTATTTGGGTTACCGGTCTTACAAATAGAAATAAGACAAATAGAACTTGCAACGGGGTTCGAAAGCGCTTTCAAATCAGACACATAAGTTCGTACTTACCGTAAAAATGAAATGAACGCGACACAAGTCTCCGATGTAAGAGAATATTAGTTAATTATAACCGCTATCAAATCCACGCAAAAATCCAAGGCACTCGTTTTATTTTAGAAAAGAATAACTGTATTTCGATGGAAGAATCTATTCCACATGAAGCCCAAATCAATGATAACTGTCAACTTGTATGTTGTCATTCTCGTGCAGATTGGTTTGAATAACAGAAATGTCCCTTGGATCCAAGATCAAAGAATAAAATCGCACGTAGACACTTTGTTGTTTTTATTGGTTAAGACTACATTATGCCGCAAAGACCCAAAGTTGCCAGAAACCATGCAGTGTTCACCTTACAACAGGTCCATTGATTTATGGTTTATTTTATAATTTATGATACTGTTTAGACCACAATGCGTTACGATTTAAATTTTGGTATTCCAAGTTGATTATATATGCAAGTTTATATGCAAAAGGATATTAATTTGGATTGGTATTATTTTTATATTTGCCTGTGATAATTATTAAGGATAATTAACATCTACAATATGAGTATAAAGAGTAAGGTAAATACTTTTTACATATTGCGTAAATTTTTAATAATGTACATTATGTAAGCGGTAAAAGATATCAGCCGAAAATCTAACTGATAAATTCACGACAATGTTTCCTTATATTTGGAGTTGTTTAGTTTCGTGTACGGAAAATAGATTAACGATTAGTTTTAACATTATTTATCATGCCGAAACATATCATTTAAATGCGAATTCCGTTTATGTAAAAGGGGCTCCGGCGCAATTTAAGGAATTATTGTTGACCCAATATTAACCATCGCCAATTTTTTAACTCATGGGATAAAGCCAATCAGCAAACAATACGGGTCTACTTTATTACAAAAACATTGGTGAACTTATCGTTGATCGTTAGGTAAATAAAACAATATAAACAACCAACTGGTCCTCTTCAATAGTTATGAAATTAATTAATCTAGAAAGCACATCAAAGAGTGCAGAATAAATGGTCTAACAGAAAATTCAGTTGTTAAAGGGGCGTGGGGCTATTTAAGGAATGACGTTTGTGCACAATATAATGAAATGATTTCCACCGGTGTAAGGCAGAATATGTCAACTGCAAATGACTAAACATCATTTTGTTCATAAGCCGCTCTGCATGCGTGAACCTTAAGCCTGTACCGATTTTTAAAAAAAATACGAGTTTTACCGTAACAGAGTAATCACAATTACTCGTTACAAATTGGTATTACATGTAGCGGATTGGATGGGGGTCAGGTCGAATCCTAACAACCCCGTGAAATCGCGACGAATAACTTCTTGGTTACCGTAGTCATATTTTAAGTGTAACTTTGTTTACTTTATTTTCACATTCTGCTAATTAAGAAACCATTTGAGTAATAAATACAGGTAATTGAATGGACTGAAGCTACATGTATAATCAAAAAGAAATCGACATCTCTTTTGAAAATATGTAATTATTACTACTGACAATTAACAATAAAAGTCATATTGTCCACGAGCACAAGACTACAACAAGGTAATAGTTTGTTGTTAAAGGGGCGTCTATGTTCTGTCAGTCGATTTCCTTTCATGTCACGTGTCAGTTCTCATTGTGAAACCTTGATTGACAGTATGCATCCACCAGACTCTATGGTGCCGAAATGAAAACGTCAGCAAGGTATTATCGGACTGATACGTGTCAATGTACATGTATTCAGCAAAGTTCCATAAACTTGTTGACGGCGAATTCTGACTGTGTGATTACATATCAGGAGACAAAGGCTTTTAATTTATTTGTGATTTAAACCAGAATTATTTATCAGTATGTGAATTACTATTTAGATGGATAAATCTACGCCCCCGGTAAGACTAGCATATATTGGTGTCATGTTATAATTTTTCAGTAATTTGATTGAATTTGTAATGGGCCATCGATGCAAGTCTTACAAATGTCGAACATATTAATGAAGTAATAATGTATCGGTATAAGCATATTTCTGTTTAAAAGATGACAATACCCGGGTTTAAATAACAGAATTACCCTGTGATATAACCCTATATACGGTCCATGATATAACAGATCAAAGAAACGCGTACGCCAATCTTCACACGTAGCTACCGACACATTAAGTGATCTATAATAACAATGTATAGCTCTACATGTACTTCATCCTAAAATAAACGATCAGAGGCATGGTTTAATTAAAACACCGAGTCACACCGTGTTTCCAACACCGAGGCAGTGCTATCGTGTCACTCGATATTCGCTCGGTGTTCACTCGGTAAATCACGGAATTCCACGATAAAAACACGGTAATATCGTGTCCCGTCAAACCATCGTGACGGCCGTACTGTAGATAATCGCGACTATGCTGTTTATCGTACTGACTTTAGTAATGATGACCGAGGCTATGCAGAAATTTCATTCGCTTAGTTTTCGGTTCATAGTGGATCAATTTGAATGATATTTTCAGCAAATTGCCTTTACGTTATCTAGTTTTTAACTATTATAGTGAGAACTGCCAACTCATTATCGAATCTCCCATAATGTATCTTTAAGTAATTATCGGAAATAATTAGAATTTGTTTGGCTTCTAGTTCTGCTGTGACAGTATTGGGTCTTTATGTCAGGTTAAGATGACAAGACTAGTTTAACATCTTATAATACTTTTATTTCTTCTTTTAACATATTATGTACAAAACTCAAGACTCCGTAATTAGCTTGTGTTGAGGGAGCCATGTCCTAGCTTGGCACAAAAGTTGTCAACTCCCAGACGCTCTCCCTCGTTCCGTCGCTTCGCGTGCAAAGGCGCCCATGGCCTCCGCTCTCTGCGTCCTTGCCCGGACCTCACTGTCAATTCGTTTGTTATCTGGGTTTATAAACCCTTCCAGACTAAGGAATCTTATTAGACATCTGGCTAATGTATCTTGTATCATATCAGGTTTAACATTTAGTACAGTTTGCTTATTTTTTATCAGATAAAAAAGTTAAATAAAACATGCCAACAAGTTATGGTTACATAATGACATAAGGAATGCTACCAAGACCTCCAGGGGTGTCGATAACCGACAGGTCATTATGTAACACTGCCCCATGTTAACGTTTAGTATACGAAACATTTAATATCATAGACATAGTCGTTGAAGTTATCAAACACCATAAAAATAAATATACATGTTCGTCTCAAGACTTTAAACACTGCATATAAATTTAAAGTCAATTGGATATTAACTTTAGCCTTTATGGACGCCGGACCAACAGACGGGGGCGTATAAAAAACAAAACCAAATAAATAGAATAACATACATTTTATCTCTGAGCTGAACACTGTCTCGATCTGTTCCTATATTTTTCATGGCTTTTTCAATACTATTTGCTGGAGAGAAAAAATAAACACAAAATATTAATAATCAGTCAAATTTAAATAATGACTTAGAATATTTGAATAGTAAAATCTCCATTTAGATGCTGCTTTACAGTTTGAAGCTTTTCATGAGACAGCAGGCCTGGAAATAGCAGTTTTAGATGTACCTGACAAAATGTCAAACACTAATGAAATAGTACCTGACATTTTCAACTAAGTGCCAGACATGTACATTGTCTGTGACAGGTGCCTTATTTCCAGGCTTGAGACAGCGTCAACCAATCACATCATCGTAGTAATTACAGAAAGATAAAAACAAACAATACATACCTTTGCTATTTAATTTTTAAAAAAATATGGTTGACGGACGGGGGCGACGGCAATATACGTCCACATTTCCATGTGGGCGTATCAAAATAAACAATACGTACCTCCGCTATTTATTTTAAAAATATTGCTTTTAATGAGATCAATCGAATCAGATATACCAGACGATCTTCCTGAAATAAACATGATAACATTTAAAGGGACAATAACACTCTTGCTGGCTTGACAGCTCCAGAAAATAAAAAATAGCCTTATTCTAAGTACTAATTGTGTTAGTGTCCTACCTGTTGTGTAAATTAAATCCTATTTTACTTGTCCCAAGGGTTCAAAAATATTTTTAAATCCAAGTCACATTTGAAAAGCTTTATGTCAGGCTTTTCAAATCATTTAGTTGAATTTTTTGAATTTTTTAAATTAGGAGTGTTAAGATCAAGTTTGTATCATAAATTAATTGGAATATTGTAAAATAGTACAATTTGTTGTCCAGAATAAAGATTGGGACATATTATTCAGTTACAACAAGAGTGGTATTGAGCCTTTAAATCTCAGAAATTTTGGGATAAATCTTACAGTAATTACGAAGTAGCAGATTGGAGGCTTTTGGTTATCATGATCACTATTGCAATCTGATTAAAACACAGATTCTATTTCGTTTCGTTTTTTTGTAGTTCAAAATTTCGTTTTACTTGTCTTTACTACAATTGGTCAGATCTTCATGTAGTGTAGGCCATCGAAAGTGTAAAAAAAGAAACATAATATAGATCTGTATTTTAATCAGATTGATGGGTTGGGATTTGGATGCTGAGTGGTCTTTAGCTTACACATTAGTAGCAGTATTGGAGGTTTTTGGTTATTATGATCACTAACTACTATTGTTAGCTTTGGATTCTATTCCTACAACTGTTTTATTTAAGAGCTTTATATTTGCCAACAATACATTATGCAAGAGATAAATCTGCCTATTGCAGGTAGTTCTTTAGGCCTGAAATGTTATCTAAATTATAAATTAGACATTAATTAACTTATCCAGACCATAATCAACTTTCGATGCCATGGCTAGCCAGCAATGTTTATTGGATTAGGTTCTGATTTGCTATTCAATTTCCATTCAGGATTTAATCATGAAGTGGATAATCAAGACTATGTTTTTTTTATGGTACCAACTTTAGTAATGATGATCGAAACTAGGCCAAAAATTCAATCGCTTAATTCTCAGTTCATAGTGGATCAATTTGACTGAAATTTTCAGCATATTCCTTTTATATTATCTAGTTTTTAACTATTATAGTGAGAACTTCCAGCTCTTTATCTAATCTCCCATAATGTATCTTTAAGCTTAAACAAAAATGTCTCAACAATGGAATGGGATTTAGTGTCTTGTCAGTAAAGACAAACAAATGGCAATTATATCTCCACATACTCTTCTTCCATTTGTAGCTGTCATGGTTTTTTTATAAGTTCATTCCAATCTGTGGATGTCATGTTTTTGTCTCATCGATTGAGTAGGCACACACCAAAATTCATATCACAGATATTCCAGTCTAGAGTCCCGATCAGTCAATTACTACCACCCCCACCCCCCAGTAAATGACGGACAAAACACATGATTACATCAAAAGTCTAGCACTTTATGATCAGTTAACTACTATATGACTCGTAGCAAATGACAGCCAGAACACACAATTATATCAAAAGTTTAGAATCTAGTTTATGATGATACACACCTCCCTGATAACTGGAGGAAGGACTATCTGAATACTCTCTATACCCTGGATCGTCATGGTATTCTTTACTGGTTGATCCGTAACCTCCTCGACTCGACATCTTCAATTATTATCTACAAAATAAAACATTACTCAATAAATAACTCTATAATCACAACCTTTGATGCCACCTGTCTCGGTAAAACTTTTTAGAATATGTCTCCTGATCCAATGAATTATTAGGGACCTTTCGCACCGGTACGAAAACGAATACGAAAACGAAAACGTCATCGATTCGTGTGTACTTGTGACGTCAATCCGTAATGAGTGTTCGGCTAGTGAAAAACGTTACGCGTATGGAGCTGGATTTACGTAGGTATGCAAACCAATATGTTTCTTGTCTCATATATTGAATTTTTCACCATTTTTCGAGCCTTTGTGTATATCGTTGATTGTGTAGCATTCGTAGAATGTGCTTACAAGGAATATTCTGCTTGATTTGTTGTACATCTGCCGAAAAATCGATTGAAAACTTTGCCTTGACCGAGAAGTTCATGGAGTGGAAATTAACGCCATCTAGTTATTGTCGTACGTCGGATTGCGAAACCGCGTGTTAGAGGATACGAAAACGAAAATGTAAACGAACATATGTTCGTTTTGGTCTTCGTTTTCGTACCGATGCGAAAGGTTCCTATTCTATCATCACCCCATAATTTTTTCGTGGAAACGGTCTCATGATACAGAACAATGCTTCTGTGATTTAGACTGCCTGAGAGAGTGAGAGAAATGGGGTTTAACATCCAATTAACACAAATTAAGTCATTTCGAGACCGACACACGATTCAATTTTATTTCAATAATTCGCTTGCGCGTAGGGGTCTTTATTAGTGGGAGGAAACTGGAGGACCCGGAGAAAACCCACAAGGCTGGACTGGCAACTCTACTCCTTTTCCTTTTCACGTACAACCGAGGAATCAAAACCACGCCAGTTGACTCATGACAGACATTATGATAGGCCTACAGCGCACAGCGGGTTGAGGAAACATTTGGATGCAGCAAAGCCAATGGCATGAAGATAATAAATATGGGGAGGATCAGGAAACTGAAACTTTCCTCAATACAAACAAGTAGGCCTACCAACATACATTCGAATGTCTATGTAAGGCATAACATATATGAAAAAGAATCAATATTTACTTAAAAATCACCAACAAAACTGTACAATTTATCTGTAAAACAATTTAAATGTAATTAATATAATGGCCTGCATAACAAATATCTACCACTTGTCCCTAAATACAAAATTACTTCATGATCACATGACGTTTCATCAAAATAAAAGCAGAGTGTCCTCCCCTTTAATAACGCGTATGAATACAAACAACATCAGATTTTTTATCAGAGCTATGGATTATTCAACGAAGTTATAAATTCAATTTGAAAATGTATCTTTAGATTTGTATGAAGTTTGAATTTAACAAATATCATGCCAGAAACATGAAATTATAAAATTTACTCTGAACTTTATCTTGAGCGGACCTATTTTTAATATAACCGGAATTTGTACTTCGTATATTGATTAGTGACATTCGATTTGGATAACATTGAATGTGTTTTGTTGATTTCATCTAAATTTACCGTTTGTATTTTTCGAGACACGTTTTGGTAACATTTGTCAGGTATTTTTATGTACTTTATTTCATCATATTCGTTGATATATTTCATTTTCATCAGCGAAAAACAATTTGATTTGGAAATTTCGAGATCATTTCGACATTTGCGTCATATTTTGAACGTTGATTTATGACGTACTGCCGGTGTCTGGACTCAGGATATATACTTATATACTAGTTTAGCTCTGAACGTAGATCTTATTATACTGTATATAACTCGCCCTGTACGTTCAGGAACTGCCCAACAGAATCCTTTCCGAATTAGTTCTGGCCCCCAGTCAATTCTAATGCTAAACCGGTCGCTTGTCAGTCCCAGTCTGTGAATGCCTGTACTGTTGTACAATGATGATGGATGTAAAGGTACATTTTAGTGAGAAAATAAGACCTTGCTAATTACCTACCTAGTGTCAGTATGTGTGACACAACATGCTGTTAAAAATACGCCCCCTTCTGCTAAACAGCTTGGCAGAAGCCATTGAAATCTAAATATAGTGAGAACGACAAGACGAACTTGTTGAAACATAGCGGGAAAGTAAAATAAACTAGGTGATTGTTTTCCATACAAATTTGTGTTTTTATAACACAAATTTACGTAACACGGCCATAATTATAAATTATTACCACAACCATATATGGCTTTTAAGTTCCATTTGCAATGTAGGTACAAGTGATCTTTGTATATTTTCCTGGCAGTGGTGGGACATCGTCTGAGAATTTTGTGCTCTAATGTGAAATGAAAATATAATTTCAACATCCTTTTTGTTATGGCAATGGTACATGTACACGTTATTGCCTTATTTGCTATTATTAGTAAACTTTATAAATTCGGGAATAAACTGACATACATGTACATGAACACACAGGCCTACCTTCTTGTAAGTTCCTCAGAGTTGCATGAAGCCAATTTGGTATTTATGGACAATTTTGCCGAAGCCCATGATGAATGTAACAGATTTTGTATACATGTAGAGTCAAATGTGAGCTAGCCTATTTCGTAACCTGGTTGTTTCGTACTTAGTTCATTCGTACCTCACATGAGCTATTTTGTATCTTGGTTAATTTCAAGAGAACTTTTACATGCACTTAATAAGCTTAACCCTCCTGCTTTTGCACCTGGGTTTGGGACCAGCATTGGCGGAGTTAAAATTGTGTTGTTTGTTTTTTGGGGGGGTTTCCATGGAAACAATTTTTGACTTATTCCATTCCAATCATAAACCTGCCGTCTTAAAATAATTTTTTTCTTACAGATTCTTTGAGAGAAGTACTGTATTAAAGATGTCTGCCACAGGTCCACCACCAGCGTCCAATGGGGAGCCTCCCTCTTACCAAGAATCAGGAGGTAGTCCCTATCCAGATGAGCCTCCACCGAAATATGAACCTCCGAAGGGCACTGCGTCTGGTTATCAATATCCGACCAGTGCTAATTATCCAGTACAACCAGATAATGGTAGGTGATGGAGAACTGATTCAACTCGGCCTTATTCACTGCTAATTTACAGTTAATGCGAGAAGGGGATAGATTTTAAAGGCCCGGGCCCTGTTTCTCGAAATCTTAACTAAAGATAAAATCCAAATTTTAGTAGATGCTTCAATTTTGATTGGCTAAGCACTAAAATTAATCTATTATTATCCAATCAAATTACTAAAATTTGGATTTTATCTTAGTTAAAATTTCGTGAATCAGGCCCCAGGTTACTGTCTCAAGCTTGAATGTAACAAGGAGTAGGGTTGCCTGTCCATGCCCAACTTCTTGTGTTTTCTCTGGGTCCTCCTGTTTCCTTCCGCTGGTAAAGATACCTACATGTACATTTACATACTACAAACGAATTATTGAAATTAAATTGTACCATGTGTTATTCAGAAAATGACCTAGTTTGTGATGAGTGGGCGTTGGACCCCATTTCTCTCTCTCTTTCTGACAGCTGAAACACTGTACATGTATAGTTTGATACTTACATGTAATGCAGTGTATGATTATTAGGTGGTCCTTTAATATAACCTGGTAATCATCTTAAAGGACATGTGGCATCATATTGTTATCCCTTCCTTTTACATGGAAGGGGACTGGTTTAATGTGTGCATGTTAGTTCATAAGATCTGTCTTTGAGTCAACTAGCATGGTTTTGATTCCCCGCTGGTGCGTGACAAGGAATAGGGCCATCTGTCCAACCTCGGTTTCTTCCTACTGTTAAAGACCCCATATGTGCATGTGGCGATCTATTGAAATAAAATTGAACCATGTATTAGTCCCAAAATGACCTAGTTGATGTCTATTTGACGTCAAACCCCATCCCTCTATCTTTTGGTTTACATTGTGCTGAGTGGGTGTTCAAACTCTTTTCTTTCTCTTATTATGCGGAACTTGTGTAGAATCCGTGTCAAACAGGATTATGAAAACAATGGATCGAAGGATCCGATACGGAAGTGTCCTTCACTGGATAAATATTAAGTAGAAAAACAAAAGCGACACTAATCTCTGAATTTTAAATGTTTTATTTATTACCTTGAAGAAGAGGGTACCTCTTCGAAACATTGATTTAAAGTAGCTAAGTCTCTAACTCAATATCATCAAAAATTATTTGTCAATTCAAATCAACATTGATCTTGTGATCTTACAAGGGAAAAGATGAGCTTCTGATATCCAATATTCAAGACAAAATAAACATTTTACCATTGGTACACGAATCGTGTACCATAATGCGTTTCAGCGCCATTTGGAACAAGGGACTCAAAGAACAGAGCTAGACATATTCCACAAGTCATGTCAAATGGTGACGCTATATTTTTATCTGGAGAGCATGCGCAATAAATACCATCGGTGTAGACTGGAAAAAACAGACGCTAAAGATTGCCATTCACATGAGACTTCTGGCCTATTTCGACGGACATAACTGATTAGAAATTGCAGTTAAAACAGAAACTATTGAATGTAAATCCGTCTATATACATGTACATTCATATTACATTATTATATGCGTTGCGACCCATTTTTGTCAATTTCTAGGTCCCAAATATTAGCGATTTAGCTCCTTTAAACATGCATTATGCAAGAGCTAAATCTGTCTATTGCAGGTCTTTCTTTAGGCCTGAAATGTTTTCTAAAGTATTAATTAGACATTAATTAACTGATCCAGGCCTTAATCAACTCTCGATGGCATCAGATTTCTCCGATATTAAATAGATTAGAATGGTTCAGCGATACTTTGATTTAATCAAATATGGGGGACCGAGACTTCGCTTCGATCAACCAGTACGGTGGTTGAAATCATTGCACACATCTGTCAAACTTCAAAGGCTAATATCTTCGCTTGCAATAGAGTAATTTGAATGAAATTTTCAAATTATTCATTTTACATCATCTACTTTCGAACTATTAAAGCAAGAATAGCTAGTTCTTTATCTAAATCTTACATAATGTATCTTTAATAATATCTGATGATGAAAACAATGTTTATCTTCTTTAAAGTCTCAATACCACTCTTGTTGTAACTGAATAATATGTCCCAATCTTTATTCTGGTCAACAAATTGCACTAATTTACAATATTCCAATTGATGATACAAATTTCATCTTAACACATCTAATTTAAAAAATTGGAAAAATTCAACTAAATGATTTGTAAAGCCGGACGTAAAGCTTTTCAAATGTGACTTGGATTTTAAAATATTTTTGAACCCTCTGGACAAGTAAAATAGGATTTAATGGATAATTTACACAACAGTTAGAACACTAACACATCTAGTACTTAGAATAAGGCTATTTTTTTATTTTCTGGAGCTGTCAAGCCAGCAAGAGTGTTATTGTCCCTTTAACTATTATGCAAGGAGGTATTTGTTCTGGCAAGTCTTCTATATTTTTATTTTTTTAGATTTAATTTGGTTGAGTTTCACTGTAACCCGGGTATCATTTAATCTTCTGTATTTAACACTAATTTCTTTCACAATCAATATCAAATCTTTGTTTAAAAAATGTGTAAAATACATTTAAAATCACCCAAAATCATCTAATTTGTACTTGTGTCCTGTTTAAAGCTGACCATTCAATTTTGATAATGAGTGTCCAATTTACAAGCGTTTAATTTCTCGATCACTGTTAAAAAAAATATACAACCCAATTAATTATTGATGTATAATGATTTATTTTTTAACTGTGGTCAGGAAATTAAATACTTGTAAATTGAACACTCATTATCAGAATTAATTTGTCAGCTTTTAACTGGACGCAAGTACAAATTAGATGATTTTGTGTGATTTTAAATGACTTTGACAAAATTCTTCAACAAACATTTGATATTAAACGAACGTGAAAGAAATTAGTGCTACATCCAAGGTTACAGTGTGTGATGACATGTATTTCAGGTTATCAGGCAGTAGTTACTGGTGCTCCGATAATAGTTATTCCAACCAATCGCTGGGGACCTGATAGACAGACTGTTTATTGTCCGTTCTGTAATGCTCATATTACCACCTATCTAGATTATGAGTCCGGAGCTTTAACTTGGTTAACATCCGGTCTTCTCTGTTTATTTGGGTAAGTGGAAGTGGAAGTGGAAGTATATCTATAGCCTACTAGATCACTGTAACCCAGGTATCATTTAGTAAACTAATGTGAAAGAAATTAGTGTTAGATACACAAGATTAAATGATACCTGGGTTACAGTGGTACTGTCTGTCTGTCTGTTCAGGGTTTGCGGCTACACTAGGGCTGTCCCGAGGCTGAAATTTGGTGTATAGAGGTAGCCCGGAACGGTGAGTAACATAGGCTTGGTGGCGATGGACAACTGCTTCTGGTTTTGGAGTTTTGCTACATCTGGTTCATGACTGTACCCGTGCTACGCCGGGTCAAGCACTAGTATTAATTAAATGTTGCATGTAATGTTGAATATCAGAAGGACTTCCATCATCTTTGGGTATTAGCGGACATTTTGTCACTCCGATATCTTTGTAGCCAAGCCTGAACGTAAGGCACCTGTTCAGACTTTGTCATACACAAATTATAACACAATGTACATATTATATTGTCCAATACACGGCTAGAGTTTGAGACTAGAATCGCCAAACATGGCAGAAAAACGCTAAGTTTCGCAGGATGTCCTTAGCGAATAGCTAGCATGCCAAAATCGTGGTGGATCACAGAGTTCTGTGGTGGAACACGGTGAATCGCTTGCGTGCCGATATGTTGAAGAAAAATGTACGGTACATGTAAGTTGAATGTTAATCTTAAGCAAGGAAGCGAGGGTTGAACTAATATTGTCTACAATAAATGTTAATGCTGTTGTGAAAACGTGTACATGTATAATGTACTGGCCAGTTTGAATAATAACCCAATGGTCACCGGCAATCTATTATATTATGATGTAAGTTGTGTGATAATTTGTGCCTGACAATAACTGACCGGTGTGTTATGTCCAGGATGGATTGTAGCCGAGTCAAATGTTTGCAACTCAGACACATGCGTCATTTTTGATCGCATAACAACTGGGTTACCCATAGAAATTCTTCCCAGGACAATCAGGTCTTTTTTTATTGACATTAAATTTTCAAGTGTTGATTCTCTGTTACTAAAGATGTGCAATGCAGACGACCGACCCAAATCAAGACTATAAATTAAAAGTAAGGTCGAAAAGAATTAATAATCAGCAGAAATTAATGTGTCTCGCAATGTAATTCAAAAATTATTTTTGTATATGTGCCCATTTTCATAAAAGTGATCAAGCAATGCAATTTGCATATCAACAAATCTTCCATTTCTCAGATACAGAAGGACGCTATTACTGATAGTAATTGATGAAAAATAAACAACAGCACGCCCTACCGTTGCACGTTTGAAACCTTGAATTAGCAATCTGATTACAACACAGATCCTATTTCGTTTCATTTTTTATAGTTCAAAATTTTGCGTTGCTTTTCTTTTCTACACTCGGATCTTGGAGAGTTGTTATATAACTCACGTTTTGGATGATGTGAGGGATTGGCTAATGAAACGGTCTGTTACAGCGAGTTTTTGGCATGAGGTGTACGGAACTGTGGGTAACCCAGTAGAAACATCAACACTGATTGGTTATCCAAATGTCTAGATGTCATAGGGTCAAAAGCTGCTCATATGACCTCTGATTCAACCTCCCACTACAACTGGTCAGATCTTCATGTAGTAGAGGCCATTGAAAGTATAAAAAAAAAAACGAAACGAAATATAGATCTGTATTGTAATCAAATTGGCCCCACTTTTGCACATTTGGAGCCTTGAATTTTGAAATCGGTTGACGATGGAAGTAACTTCGGTTTACAGTAAGTGAGATTATAGATAAACAAACAATGAACATTATTAGATCATTTTATTGTACAGGAGGCTGGACTGTTAGAATTTCTAAATTAAAATATGCATTCATTGCCACAATAATAATGATTATGATCAAATTGTTTTCTTAAAAAAAAATTAATTTAATTCTACAGTTGTTGGCCATGTTGTCCTATACCGTTCTGTATTCCTGATTTACAAGACGTTAAACATAGATGTAACTTGTGTGGAACAACCCTTGGTATCTACCGTAGACTCAGTTAACCAGTCACACTATCACCGATTTGCATTGTATGTCTATACATTTAGATTCTTTTCAGTTTTTTGTTTTTATAATCTTTAACTTTAAATAACTGGATAAAACAGTAAAATATAGCACATACTTGTGGAAGAATAATTACTAATTTATTTGGGCAACAATTATCTTGAGACATTAAAGGGGCAACAAGGAGTAGGGTTGTCTGTCCAACCTCGTGGGTTTTCTCCGGGTCCTCCGGTTTCACCCCCACTGCTAAAGACCCCTACGCGCAAGCGAATTATTGAAATAAAATTGAACCATGTGTTAGTCCCGAAATGACCTAGTTTGTGTTAAATGGACGTTAAACCCCATTTCTCTCTCTCTCTATTAAAGGGGCATTAGGTAAGATAAAGAGCTGACAGTTCTCGCTATAATAGTTAAAAAAAATAGATAATGAAAACAGGATGTTCTACAAATTTCAGTCAAATTGCTCTAGTCTGAACTGAGGTATTAGCAATTCAATTCATTACTAACATGTGTATTTTACATTCTACCTGTGTATTTTACATTCTACCTGTGTATTTTACATTCTATTTTACATTCTACCTGTGTATTTTACATTCTACCTGTGTATTTTACATTATGTGCGTGTATTTTACGTCCTACCTGTGTATTTTACGTCCTACCTGTGTATTTATTTTATGTCCTACCTGTGTATTTTACATCCTACCTGTGTATTTGTGTGGATACATGTATCCAATTCGAATTATAATGGGTGTTTCTTGAGGTCACTTCCAGATTTGGTCTAAGGTCACGAGATGTAAACAGGGCTAGCGGTAACACTGGACCTAACTCTTACCCTAATCCTAACCCACAATCTTATCAACAATCATGTGCCCTAACCTTTACTTGCATCTCAGCGACCTTGACCTAATCTGGAGGTGGTCTTAAGAAATAGATATAGTTGTATATGAGCTCAGCTTATTGTCTGTTACTTTAGCTTATTGTCTGTTATCTGTTACTTTAACTTATTGTCTGTTACTTTAGCGTATTGTCTGTTACATGTATTGTTACATTAGCTTATATTGTCTGCTACATGTAGCCTATTGTAACATTAGCTTATTGTCTGTAACATTAGCTTATTATTTGTTACATTAGCTTGTTATCTGTTACATGTAGGCCCTATTGTTATATAGAGAATCTCTTACCAGTCTTTTTTCATATCAAAAAATATCAACACAAGTTGATAAAGTAACAAAAAACGAGGCTCTGCCGAGTTTTTTTTACTTTATCAACGAGTGTTGATATTTTTTGATATCAAAAAAGACGAGTAGGAGATTTTATTTATCACCCAATCCCTTCTTACATGCACAAATAGATAAATATAATTCTTTGCTGTGGATTTCACTTTTACTGAACATTACGGCATAATGATACATCATTTTTTGACAGCAATTCAACCATTGCAAAGTCATTTATATTGACCCAGTGTTTCCATCAAGATCAATTGAATAACAAGAGTACATTTTTAATAAAACAAAAGGTACTTTTAATAAGAAATGAACTGTTCTTTGAAAACAAAAAAAAGTAGTTCCTTTCCAACTGACCAATCAAATTCATGTAATATCGCAGGAGATATCACAGTAGATTATGAAATATATCACACAAGCGATATCTACTGTAGAATGTATTATTGGGTGATAAATGAGCTTATTATCTGTTAGTAATGTTATATGTATATTAGCTTATTGTCTGTACATGTAATAATTAGTTTTGGTGTATAATAATTATTATGTTATTGGTTTCAGGGTATTCTATTAACGAATTATTACTCATATATCAAAATATTTACCATGATATTATTTAAATAACATTTAATCCAAATCTCAATTCACAATATTGTAATATAAACATAGACCTGGTTTTTTTATGCACCCACCTTTTAATTTAACGTGGTTTGATATTGTCATCATTTTTGCCCATCCATCCATCCATCTGTCTGTTGAGTTATTGACCAATTTTCACAATATTTTGGTTTTACTAAGTCTTGTAGTCATCATTTACATTGTATTCCCCTTTGTACAAAAAATATAAAAGGTCCAAAGGATGCTTTGCTTTGTGCAGTACTATCTTACATGTGCATTGCCTGGCAGACATTGTTATTTTTCACTTATCCTATCCTCAACAGATTTGTGGGCTTTTCTCAGAAAATTTTGTGGTGCGGGTGGCTGACTAATTTAACACATGCATGTTAATAGATCATAAGCTCTTTCATTGAGTCAACTGGCGTGGTTTCTAGGTTTCGGAGGAATCATTGTATGTAACAAGGAGTAGGGTTGCCTGTTCAATCACATGGGTTTTCTCCAGGCCTTCCTCTTTACTCCCACTGCTAAAGACCCCTACAATGTACGCACAAGAAAATTATTGAAATATGGTTGTCCCAAAATTCCCAGTTTGTGTCTAGTGGACCTTAACCCCTCTCTCTCTCTCTCTCTCTCTCTCTCTCTCTTAAAATTATATCTAAAAATTTACTGTGGACTTGCGATTAAAACACTATATGATAAGAATTACCTTTTATTACACTACTGCAACATTTCAACAAGATTTCAAACAAATAAATAGAAATGATATTTTCCTAGCCATTAGAAAATATAATTAAAGATAACATAAAACAGACAGTTTCATAAGCTGAGGGTGGTTGGGTGGCCGAATGGTTAGCGCATGCGCGTTGTATCATAAGGTCTGTCATTGAGTCAACTGACATGATTTCGATTCCCCCAGTTGTACATGACAAGGAGTAGGGTTGCCTGTCCAACCTCATGGGTTTTCTCCGGTTTCCTCCCACTGCTAAAGACTACATGTAAACTACTTATAGAAATAAAATTGAACCATATCTTTGTTTCAAAATGACTTATCGTTCGTATCGAGTGGATGTTAAACCTCTCTCTCATGAGGGGGGTTAGATGGCCGAATGGTTAGCACTTGTGCGCTGTATCATACGGTCTGTCATTGAGTTAACTGGCATGGTTTCGATTCCCCAGTTGTACGTGATAAGTAGTTGGGTCATCTATCCAACCTCATGGGTTTTCTCCGGGTCCTCCGGTTTCCACCCACTGTTAAATACCCCAACGTGCAAGCTAATTATTGAAATAAAATTAAAACCATATGTTAGTCCCGAAATGACCTAGTTTGTGTCGAGTGGACATTAAACCCCATTTATCTTGCTCTCTCTCTCTCTTTCCCTCTCATAAGTTGATTATTGCAGCCCCTTCCTCATAATATCAGTTTGTTGATGTCAAGAGGAGTAGAGTGGTCAAACGTACTCAAGATCGTTTCTCTTATTGAGGGGGGTTGGATGGCCGAATGGTATCATACGGTCTGTCATTGAGTCAACTGGCAGGGTTTTGGTTCCCCGGGTGTACGTGACAAGGATTAGGGTCGCCTGTCCAACCTCGTGGGTTTTCTCCGGGTCCTCTGGTTTCCTCCCACTGCTAAAGACCCCTACGCGCAAGCAAATTATAGAAATAAAATTGAACCATATGTTAGTCCCGAAATGACCTAGTTTGTGTCAAGTGGAGGTTAAACCCTCTCTCACTCTCTCTCAACTGAATAGATAAGTTAATTATTGCAGCTCCTTCCTCATAATGTCATTTTGTTGATGTCAAGAGGAGTAGAGTGGTCAAACATGTACTCAAGATCGTTTCCGTTATTGAATCAAGTGGCATGGTTGTGATGTACACCATTATTGGGCTTTTTTTTTTAGAGGTTTCCAATGGCAACATGTATGTATATCAATCAAGGTTGTTGATATGTGGATATTTTTATGTTTAAATCAATAATCTCCAGCTATATAAAAGCAGCCTAGCACATAATAAGAAGCTTAAAGTCAAATCACTTTCAAGAATAATCAATCATAATAGAGTGGGTGTGTAGCATTTCTATCAATAAAATCATACATACATACATGTAGGCCTATAATACCATTTACAAAATAAAACCAATTTGTGTCTGAGGTTATGAAATTAAATGAAATGGGATTTAATTGAAATAAAATTGAACCATGAGTTAGTCCCGAAATGATCAAGTTTGTGTCCGGTGCAGGTTAAACCTCTCTCTCTCTCTATGAACATCAGGTCCGGAGTTCACAAAGCATTCTCAAAATTGTTTGCCTTATTTTAAATAAAATATAGCCCTTTATAAAACTTTTTGTTGTTTTAATGTATCAAATACATCAATAAGAAACCATGTGCAAAGTTTTGTGTTTCTGGATCAAATATATTTCTCATAAACAGTGATTGAAAGTTGAGTAAATTTCTAAGTCTGAGAATGCTTTGTCCAACCTTTTTTTGGTGTTTGTTTAAATATATTTGTTTATTTGTTGTGTTTGTATCTTGCCTGGTCAACTGCTCTGACAACTTACTGTAACCTGGGTATCATTAAATCTTGTATATCTAGCATTAATGTCTTTCACATTCGTTTAATATCAAATGTACACATTGGCGTGCACGTAAAAGATCCCTTGACAGTTGGAATTCAATGTAAGAGTAGACCGTAGTGCCGCTGTCCGGGCAAAATTTCCCTCATAGCACACTGTATGGTGTATGCCTGTTTTCATAAGTCCTGTTCGGAGCAGAACAGTAGGACGTTAAACCCATTTCATTTTATTTGGTGTGTTTGTATCTTGCCTGGTCGACTGCTCTGACAACTTAGCTGCTGTGGATGTATGTTTCTTTGCCTGGCAACCTATTTTATTTGGTGTATGTCTCTTTATATTCTATATAATATCGTTTACCTTCAGGTTGTGGTGTGGGTGTTGTATTCTACCATTCTGTATCAATAGTTTAAGCGATGTCAAACACAAATGTACAAATTGTCAACGAATAATTGGGGTCTACAGAAGACTGGAAGCATGAGGCTACAATTTACTTTTTGTCTGAAGACCGCGAGCGTAGTGCACAAGAGTACATTTGTTGATAATAATAGAAATACTATCTGCCTTTATACAAAACACAATCAAGCATATGACTTTATTAATTCTTCGTGCAGCTTATATTAAGATGTGGGCGTGGCTTATTGTATATTTATAGGGCTTCCTTTGATATAAACAAGACATGAATAATCCTGTAATGAGTACATTGTAGTAATATTTAACCCCCCCGTCTTCATTATACCTGGTTGGACATGAGAATTAAGACGTTAAACCTCATTTCATTTATTCATACTTCACTGAGCCATGGTGAGTAATATTACCCACCAAAAGTTTGAGATTTTGACCCCTTGACTGTCAAAAGGAGCATTAACATACTTTAGTAAATATTTTGTCATGTTTTCTTTTACAAGCCATTCCATTCCTTTTGATTAGGAAAAATCAACCCTTGACTGTGAATTTATAAAAGAGTATATTATTTCCTTTTTTTTATTTTTTGTCTTGTCGCAACCCTTGACTGTACATGTATATAAGTGTATATTATATTAATTTCACATCTCTTTAGACTGTATTACCTATTATTTTGTTTCTTCTGAACTCTTGATATATTCATTTCTTAGGATTACATTCCTTTATTGGAAACACTCCTTTATTAGAAAAATTCCTTTATTGGAAACATTCATTTGTTTGGATGTATTCCATTATTAGTAACATTCCTTTAATGGAAACACTCTTTTATTAGAAAAATTCCTTTATTGGTTACAGTCATTTGTTTGGATGTAGTCCATTATTACTATTAGTAAAATTCCTTTATTGGAAACAATCTTTTATTAGAAAAATTCCTTTATTGGTTACAGTCATTTGTTTGGATGTATTGCTTTATTACTATTAGTAACAGTCATTTATTGGAAATACTCTTTTATTAGAAACATTCCTTTAACGCCTGTATTGAATACATTTATTTGTTTGGATGTATGCCTTGGTTCTTTTTTCATTTTTATTGTTTTTAGATCTGAATATTTATGTTTATTTACTTTTATTCACTCAAACTGTTTTGTCTCAAAATGTGTGCAATATGTTTTGCTTTTATTTAAAGGACTCCACTTTTGATTTGGGTAAAAATATAGTATTGAATTCAATTGATTTCATGTGATATTTTAGTGAGTGGTGAGATTTTGTTTCAAAATGATATGCAGACATGCATTTCTCTATTAAAGATGCATTATGATATGCAGAAATGCATTTCTCTATTAAAGATGCATTATGATATGCAGAAATGCATTTCCCTATTAAAGATGCATTATGATATGCAGAAATGCATTTCTCTATTAAAGATGCATTATGATATGCAGAAATGCATTTCCCTATTAAAGATGCATTACGTAAGATGTACATCAAGTTTCGTCTATCATTGCTACATGTTTAATACTTCAAAAATAGATAATTAATATATAGAACATTTCATTCAAATTACTTTATTCATGACAAAGTTAGAACTGTTTGAAGATTGTCTATTATCATCGCAACGGTATGTAACAACCGAGACTTAGTCTTGATTATCCAATTTATCAATAAGATCACTTGATTTTTGGGGGAATTATGACTGTTTGAAGATTTAGCGTAGATCGTTAATTATCGTAGCAATGGTACTTGACAACTGAGACTTACATGTAGCCTTGATTATCCATTTTATCGTTAAATATAAAAATCTTGTGGGTTTTCAAATCCATTTAAATCTTGGCCATCTGTCTTTCTAGAGAGTTGATTATAGGCTTGTCATGTCTAAATATTAATTAAACTGTTGACAGTAGACCACAAAATCAGTTATATTTTAGTATCTCAGCATTAGCTCTATATGTGGACCTAGAATATTTAATATAGACAGATATCCGCTTCAGAAAACCAATCAATAAATCAATATTTTTTTTATCCAAGTCAAAGACAACTAGACATTTAAAAAGAAATGAAAATTGAAATCTGGATTATGTTTGTGAGATGTAAATAGAACATGTTACTGTACAATGTAGGTTGCCAGTGTAATGATGGTCTCTTATTTGTCTCATGGTTATCTATCTGGGCTTTTTGACGGTGGAATGCAGGTCTCTTATTCCACTGGTTACCTGTCTAGGCTGTTTGACAATGGAATACAGGTCTCTTATTTCTCTCATTATTAACTCTCTGGGCTAATTGACAGTGGAATTGACTGACTGTTAAACATTGTTATAAATACTAATTTGGTACCAGTTGGGTGTAACTACAACTTTAGACAGTCTGATGGGTAGATGATCAAGCTGATTAAAACACAGATCCTGTTCCGTTTTTTTATAATTCAAAATTTTGTTTACTTGTCTGTACTACACTAGGATCTGGAAGAATTGTTATATAAACTGCTTCCTGGAAGATGTGAGGGATTAGTTAATGAAACGGTCTTTTGTGGCGTGTTTTTGGCGTGTGGTGCACGGAACTTTGGGTAAACCAAATTAAACGTCAACTCTGATTAATCAATGTCTGACGTCATATGGTCAAAAGCCACTCGTATGTCACCAAACTCGACCTTCCACTACAACTGGTCAGATCTTTATGTAATGTAGGCCATCGAAAGTATAAAAAAACGAAACGAAATATAGATCTGTATTTGAATCAGATTGGGTATATGATAGATGGTATATTAACTGATCTACATACATTGTAACCCGCGTATCATTTAATCTTGTGTCCAGTTTAAAGCTGACCACTCAATTTTGATAATGAGTGTCAAATTTACAAGTGTTTTATTTCTCAATCACTGTTAACAAAATAAACCACCCAATTGATTAATATTTGAACTGTGGTCAGGAAATTAAAAAGTTATAAATTGGACACTCATTATCAAAATTGAATGGTCAGCTTTAAACTGGACACAAGTAAAAATTAGATTATTTGGGGTGATTTTAAATGATTTTTACAAATTTTTAAACAAAGATTTGATATTGAATGAATGTGAAAGAAATTAGTGCTAGATACACAAGATTAAATAATGCCCGGGTTGCAGTGATATGTCATCTATTATAGGGGTGGGTAATGCATTACAATATAATTATAGGTAGGTGATCTATTGTATATTAACTGATGTATGTAATACCGGTTTATTTGTGTATACTTGAATTATTGTTAAGGGGTTTGTTATTGTTTAAAGTTTAAAGATGGAATTGATGATATTATGACCAGGTAGTATTTAATACAGCCATTCACCCAATATCAAGGAGTAGACTTACACCATAACTGGGCACCCAAGATGGATTATCTATAATAAGTTTACAATGGTCAGCTATGACAACTACTTGGGCCCTGTTTCTCGATATCTTAACTAAAGTTAAAATCCAAATTTTAGTAGATACTTCGATTTTGATTGGCTAAGCACTAAAATCAGTCTAATATTATCCAATCAAATAACTAAAATTTGGACTTGATCTTAGTTACAATTTCGTGAAACAGGCCCCTGGTCATAATATAATAGATTATTATTGTTTTAACGTGTACTGTATTGATGATATAAATATACTAAATTATTATTGTTTTAACCTGTATTGCATTTATAATATTGTTTTTATTTTATTTATAACATACTATACTTATGGTCTTTCAACTTAAATGATATGGTTAATAAAATATATTCATTAAAATTTATTGAATTGTTATGATTTTATAACCGCTAGGTTCTTCAATAGTTAATAAGTCTGGAATGGTTCTTCATTACTGGAACTTATATCTTACAAATGACATTAATTCAATACATACAATGTACACCTACAGCAGAGTGGATGACCGACATGCATTGGTAGCTGCTACTAAGTCAATTGACATAAAGATACATTATGGGAAATTAGATAAAAAGCTGGCAGTTCTCACTATAATAGTTAAAAACTAAATAATGTAAAGGGAATATGCTGAAAATTTCAGTCAAATTGGTCCACTCTGAACGGAGATATTAGTGATTAAATTTTGGGTCTAGCCTCGATCATCATTACTAAAACTAAAATCGGTACGATAAAAAACATAGTCTCAATTATCCATTTTTGGATTTAATCGTGAATGATCGTTGAGCAGAAGATCGGATCCTAATCCAGTAAATATCACAAGCTAGCGATGACATCGAGAGTTGATTATGGTCTGGATAAGTTAATTAGGCCCATATTTTCGAACAGTGTCTAAAATAATCTGTGATTAGATTTAATAAGAGATTTGTTGTTGACTATGTTTGGCATTCTCAAAAGTCAGATTAGCTAATCTTAGACTAGAATTTCTCTTCATCAACGATTAAAATTAAGTTTTAAAGATTTTCCGGCGTGGTTTCCCCTTGTCGGAGGGAGGGCCTGACAAGAACAGCTGTCTAGTCGTTCGGATGGGACGAAAAACCGAGGTCCCGTGTACATATTGGCATGCACATAAAAGATCCCTTGGCAGTTGGAATTTGATATAACGCCGCTGCCCGGGCAAAATTTCCCTCATAGCACACTGTATGGCGTATGCCCGTCTTCATTAGCCCAGTTTAGGAGCAGAACAGTAGGACGTTAAACCCCATTTCATTTTAAAATTTGATTGTATATCAGACATTTAAATTACTAATTTATAATCGTTGATTAAAGAGTTTTTGTTTATCATTGATGAAAGGGACCAGTTTGCAGGGAAAAAAAGCGGGTCTGTAAATAAGAGTATAAAATTTTTGGTATTGTATTGGGAGAGTGAATTTCAGTAGTTGTTATCCATCACATTTCCCACAAGCGACCTAGTTGAGTTCACAATGGGGATGTGCCAAGGTTTAATTGTCTTCATGACAATAGAAAATTCTCTCAGATTAACATCCGAATTTATCATTATTTGTCAATTTTGTATATAAACTTGCAATATTTCTATTTAAAGGGACCATCCCGGATTTTAACATAGTCTCCAAAACAAAAGTGTACATTTGAAATTTAAGTACCAAAATAATCCTGGTCTCAAAATTTATGTTCGAAAGATTGAGTGCTTGCTGTACTTAATAACGAAAGGTAAATTTCACCTACATGTTATTGATGGTTTTAAGTTGTTTGAAAACGTATCACGTATATTGAGTTAGTTGCTCGATCCAAAGTTAGTGTTTTAAGGGCTTTTAACACAAAATTAAGCAGTTTTATTCTCCAAAATATAATCGAGTTTGGCCCTTTAATAAGACTCCAGACATAGGCCGGACACCTGGAAGATGAACACGTAATTGTCATTTTTAATAAAATTGTTTGCATCACTCGCTTGGCATGTCATTATATAAACATAAAATCTTCTGATGGAATTTAATTGGCCGTTTAGATTCTGCTTTTGTAATTTTTATACATACAACTGAGTGCCAATTACATAAAATGTATGAGCTATATTAAATATAAAATCGTTTATTATATAAAAACACAAACATTATATTTGAAATTATCTGCTTGGAGCTTGTCTGTTTTTCATTTCTTACATCTCTTTGTTGGAAATATTGTGTGAACATAATATGAAACTGAAACAAAGTACGTTTCAAACTCATTTAATGCAACGAATGTCATTTCTAGTCAACTTTGCCTTGTGTATTTTTCTCTACATAATCGCTTGAAAGTGTCACCAAATATGCTGGCCTCGACTTAGGAGTTTGGTATACAACAACTACATCAAATTGATTTAGATAAATGAAGTGCCGCAGTATCCTAACACAGATAAATATGATGATCTCTACCTTAATTTGATCTATTTTTCTTTTGGTAATTTATTACTAATAAACTACTACATGTATTACAGAGAGAGAGAGAGAGAGAAATGGGGTTTATGTCCCCTCGACACAAACTAGTTTATTTCGGGACTAACATATGATTTAATTTTATTTCAATAATTTGCTTGTGCGTAGGGGTCTTTAGCAGTGGGAGGAAACCGGAGGACTCAATGACAGGCCTTATGATACAGCGCGCACGTGCTAGGCATTCGGCCATCCAACCCCCTACATGTATTACACGCTTCTAATAGGGGGATTGGATGGCCGAATGGTTCACATGTGCACGTTGTTTGTAAGGTCTGTTATTGAGTCAACTGGAGTGGTTTCGATTCCCCAGTTGTATGTGACAAGGAGTAGGGTTGCCTGGCCAACCTCATGGGTTTTCTCCGGGTCCTCCAGTTTCCTCCCATTGCTAAAGACCCCTACGCGTAAGCAAATTATTGAAATAAAATTGAACCATATGTTAGTCCCAAAATGACCTAGTTTGTGTTAGTGGACATTAAACCCCATTTCTCTCTCTCTCACACTTCTAGTTGGGTACAACTACCACATAAATATTATAGGATATTTACAAAGACTGTTACATTCACATAATAAAACGAGGCAACAATCAACAAAGCCTACTTGATAAGAAATGAGGATAAAAAAATTGTTATTCAGATAAAATTACATGTAATGAAAACAGGATAACAAAGAGCATACTTGATATGAAATATGGGAAAAAAATTGTTATTCTGATAAAATTACATATAATTAAAATACATAGAGGATATTTGTCGTTTTGTCGTGAATAACATATTTTATTTTTCGAGAAGCAAGAAAACTTATATTTTCACGAATGCGTAGCATGAGTGAAAATATAAACGTTTTCTTGCTTAGAGATGAAATAAAATATGTTATTCACGACAAAACGACAAATGTTCTATTTATTTTATGATTTTACAATCATTTTAGGTAAAAACAACATGGACTAACATGGAATAACACTTTTATTTCACTGATAAAACGCGGTATTCCACTACTGATCATAAAATAAATTTGAATAATCGCCCTATTGTAAGGATCACTGGGTAGGAGAGAGAGAGAGAGAGAGAGAGAGAGAGAGAGAATGGGGTTTATTCACTCAAACCAAGTCATTTTGGGACTAACATTATGCTTCAAATTTATTTCAATAAATCATTTGCACATAGGGGTCTTTAGCAATGGGGGGAAACCGGAGAAAACCCACGAGGTTGGACAGCCAACCCTACTCCTTGTCAATGACAGACCTTATGATCTATAGCGAACAGGTTAGACCATTCAGCCACCCAATCCCACACTGGGTAAAACAAATAAAATGGGGTTTAACATCCTACTGGGGGGGGTTGGATGGCTGAATGGTTAGCGTGCGCGCGCTGTATCATAAAGTCTGTAATTGAGTCGACTGGCGTGGTTTCGAATCCCCGGTTGTACGTGGCAAGGAGTAGGGTCGCCTGTCCAACCTCGTAGGTTTTCTCCGGGTCCTCCGGTTTCCTCCCACTGCTAAAGACCCCTACGCGCAAGCGAATTATGTAAATAAAATTAAACCATATGTTAGTCCCGAAATGACCTAGTTTGTGTCGAGTGGACGTTAAACCCAATTTCTCTCTCTCTCTCTAACATCCTACTGTTCTGCTCCGACTGGGCTAATGAAGACAGAAAATTTTGCCCAGACAGCGGCACTATGACCTACTCTTATTTTGAATCACAACTGCCAAGGGATCTTTTACGTGCATGCCAATATATACAATGAACCTCGGTTTTTCATCTCATCCCAACGACTAGACACTGTCTTTGTCAGGCCCTTTGTCCTGCACAACTGACAAGGGGAAACTACATCGAAAAAAATCCTGTTGAACTTTCTCAGGCAACACTGGGAGCGAACCCACAACCTCCAGGTTAGCGAGCCAGCGTGTTACTCACATAGCCCCCATGGCTCCCTCTAGGTGAAAGAAGACAACTAAAGTTGACAGTATATATATATATATAATTTATTGACAACTTGTACAAGTATATTAAAAACAAAATATAAGTAAATAATCAATAAAACATCAAATCTACAGGTGAGCTCAGGTTGTTTTTGTTTAGAATATGTGAGATACTCCCACAAAACCAGGCTCTTGGTCATTTTTATAAAAATAGAGCTGGCAGAATATTTGAATAGTCCACAGTCTGAAAATGCAATTTATTTTAAATTTGTCGTATCATCTGAAGTTTGGCTCATTCATTGCAACACGAAGATGAAGGCATATATACAGTTTCTGCTTTTGTGCCCCTAGTACAAAATAAAGTTGTGCGACAAGCGCTATTTTTCGCGGGAGCGGGTCATATATATATATATATCAGTGTAAGTAAAGTAATACAGTAAAAACACCCTGAACCCCCCACCCCACCCCCGCTATTACCGTCACAGAAGGCATGTTCCTCAACCATCTGATTAATACACAGGTCCTATTTCGTTTCATTTTTATAGTTCAAAATTTCGTTTTACTTGTCTTTACTACACTAGGATCTGGAAGAGTTGTTATATAACAGGCGTTCTAGTTGATGTCAGGAATTGGCCAATGAAACGGTCTGTTACAGGGATTTCTTGGCTTGCTCTGCACAGAACTATGGGTAAAGCCCTAGATACGTCAGATTAATCAATATCTGACATCATAGAGTCAAAAGCCACTCGTACGACCCCTGACGTGACCTCCCATTACAACTGGTCAGATCTTCATTTAGTGCAGGCCATCGAAAATATAAAAAAACGAAACGAAATTTAGATCTGGACCCTTATTCACAAAAACTTAAACTAAGATACAATCGAAATTTTAAGAAATACTGCAATTCGATTGGCTGACCAATATGCAAATTGGATATATGCAAATTGATTTTACTGGTCAGCCAATCGAATTGCAGTATTTTTTAAAATTTCGATTGTATCTTAGTTTAAGTTTTCGTGAATAAGGGCCCATTATTTTAATCAGACTGGTTCCTCTGATAAATATAAAATAACAATAAAAATGTCTTTCTTAATTTAAATCTATGTCTTAAAAATAATTATGCATTTCAAAAAACATTTCTAAAAATGGAATGGGGATTACTGTTCCATTAACATAATATTCTTGATATATCGAGACAAACATTTCTACTTCTATAGTACATGTGCCAAATGTAGGAGAATTTTGCCAGGAAGGCAGCGTTTTCCACCTGCTCCTCATTAACTGTCAATATGTACATAGGCAGGGTCAGATTAAGATCTCTTGAGACTCTAAGCACTTAAAAAGATTTTGGTTCCCCCATTTTAAAATACAACCAATAATAAATCATAAACAACCGTCAAGCCACGTGGTTAGAGTTTTTTATAATTGCGAGATAACAGTAAGAAAAGATGAAAACAACAAAAAAATTTTGAATTAAATATTTTAAATTTGGAATCTAACAAAGCATGCTTATTTTGGTTAATGGTTAATTCAGCCCCTGTTCATAGGCGGACCTCAAGTGTTCTGTCCCATCGGAACGATTAGTCGAGATTCCAGTTCCTTTACAAAGATAGAGATAGAGAAATGGGGTTTAATGTCGACGGCACAAATTAGGTCATTTCGGAACTAACATATTGTTCAATTTTATTTCAATAATTCGCTTGCGCGTATACACAGAGAGAAATACAACCATGACAACCTTATTTTCTAAGTTTAATTACAAAAAATCAAACGCCCTTTAAATTAAATCCTTATAGTAAATTTTAAAATATATAAATTTAAAAGTAAAATACAAATCAAAGCGAACAGATGCTTAAGAGAAACCTTGAGCACTGTGCGCTAGTCCGAGTGAGCACGGTGCGCTAGTCCGAGTGAACACTTTGCGCTAGTCCGAGTGAGCACTGTGCGCTAGTCCGAGTAAGCACGGTGCGCTAGTCCGAGTGAGCACAATGCGCTAGTCCGAGTGAGCACGGTGCGCTAGTCCGAGTGAACACTTTGCGCTAGTCCGAGTGAGCACTGTGCGCTAGTCCGAGTGAGCACGGTGCGCTAGTCCGAGTGAGCACTGTGCACTAGTCCAAATGAGCACTGTGCGCTAGTCCAAATGAGCAGGGGCAGGGTTACACTCGAGTGAACCAAGGAATAACCCGAGCGGTATTCAATGGTCAATGAGTTCTGTTTTTATTCTATAACTACATGCAAATCTCAAAATACACTGTTTTATCTAGATTATCAACAAAAAAAAAAATCATCACCAATAACGTTAAAATTCATCATAGGTTCCACAAAAATTTTGTTTGCCTAGTGGTGACGTCATTACAGTTTGACGTAATTCTGAAAGCGACGTCACTTCTGGGCAAAAGTAGTACCTGTCCAAGCCATAGGTTATTCAATGGCTGTATTCAACGGCTGTATTCAATGATATTTGCTTGTATTAGCATGTAGTTATAGAATAACATTTATTATTATTTGTAGCCTATGGAACCCACCATCATTAAAAATATTATGACAAATATTAGAAGTACCATTCAATATAATATCATTACATTTAAATATTGATTAACAAGAACAAAATGAACACATAAAGACAACGCTTGATATTCATTCTACAGTTCAATATATATTACTTCACAAAAGAATATGTACCCAGTAATTCTACTCTTAGAAAAAAACGGAGGTTAGCTTTGTAAGAAAAATAGGGCAATTTTTCATTTATTTTTTGACACAGGACAAATTTAATTGTTAATAAGATTTTTAAAAATTGTTAAGATTTATATAATCAAGCTTGTAATTTACATTAACGCGATATAAAAATTATGCAAAATAGAAACTTGTACAAGTGTCATGTGGACATTTTACGGTTTTCAAGGCATCCAATGAATAGTTCAATCTGATTAAATTACAGTTCCTAATTTGTTTTGGTCGTGGGTGGGTTAACGTTTGATTCCCCTGATTGTGATGCAGCAGCAAGACAAGGTACCTAATTTGTTCGTTTGTGGAAAGTTAAGTCAAAGGGTTATATTGCAGGGAATACACAGTTCCTATTTGGTTTAGCTATTTTATAATTCGTCTAATTGTCTTCACAACTCTGTGTGGGTACTCGATTGAACGTTCCGGAATTGAATTCCTTCAATCCCACAAATAGTGACAATCAAGTGAAAAGGTGGATTTCGGACTACAACGCATGCGTCGACTGAATAAGTTAATATCTCAACCAACCATGCAGACGGAACCTTATAGTTACGTCACGATTCTACTCACACCACCCCTGTTGTCGGGACTGACAGAACTGTGACAGAACTGAATTCCGCGTTACTCGATTGCAATTCTGTCAATTCGGGACGTTCTGGACTGTGAATCGAGCATCCCCTGTATTGTGTATAGGATAAACCAATGAGAGAGAGAGAGAGAGAGAGAGAGATAGAGGGTTTAACCTTCATAAGGTCATTTCAGGACTAATGGTTCAATTTTATTTTAATAATTTGAATGCACATGTGGGTCTTTAGTAGTGGAAGGAAACCGGAGGACTCAGAAAAAAAACCCATGAGGTTGGACAGGCGACCCTACTCCGTGTCACATACAATTGGGGAATTGAAAACCATGCCAGTTGACTCAATGACAGACCTTCTGATACAGCATGCGTTAACCATTCGGCCACCCAACCCACATATATGAAGCACAGAACATCGAAAGTATAAAAACAAATTTTAGATCTGTGTATTAATCAGATTGATAAATAATTATGAAAAGTCGTTAAAACATAAAAATTTGTAGTAAAATATTGTGTGATTAAAGACACCTTGTCAGGGGCGGATCCAGGAATTTTTGCAGGAGTGGGTTTGCCCGGTTCCTGTTAAGGAAATTTGACAGTTGATAATGCATTATGCCATCATCCACACTGACCTTTTTAAAGAGAGAAATCCAACACCCTGTTTGAGGTCAATTTTTATAATGAATTAATAGGATTACATGTGATTCAATTTTATTGATGTAAAGCATTAATTATGCAACCCCCTGGATCCGCCCTTGCGTGTATAGCATATTTTTTCTTTATCTAAAATTTGAATCTGTATTAAAGTTACTGATTGTCATGTATTTCTTATATACTAAACTTAGGATGCCTGTCTACGGTTAGCTCAGCTTGGGAACACTACAGCCACTAAGCTAGTTGACTGACATTTTAAGTCTTTGATTACTCCACAATGAAAAACCACGATTTCATTCGTAGCACGAATCGTGATAGTGGTAACCAAGCATTCGAGATTCAACTATATCACAGTTTTATACCTTAAAATTATAGCGAAACCACAAATATTAATTTTCCAGGAGTTTCAATCTTGTTTTTCCAGGATTTTTCCAGTACTGGAATTCACATTTTCATTCTTCCAGGATTTTCAAGGAGTATTTGAACCTTTTCAAGGAAACAACAATCACTAAAAGTGACAATCAGAGACTTCAATATTAAATTCAGGCTAAATGAATATTTCACAAATTAAAGGGAGGTTAAAATATGGTCAAACACAAATGTAGTTTATGTTGCTAAAATATTTTTTTTTCTAAGGTTTGTCTTGATTGGTTTACGTCAAATAGTGATAACCATTAGATGGTAACCGACCAATCAAAAGAAGCCTTAGAAACTTATCTCTAATTAATAGAATTATGTACTGGGTCTATTTCCAGTAAATTTCTTGGTCAACGAAAGTTACGCAATAACAGCTAGTTTAATAGTTATAGCTGCTGCTGTCGTTAATTTGTGCCAAAATAACGCCTACATACACTCCGACCAAAATACCCACGACAATGATGGAGATGATACCGACGATGACGCTGATTGTCACCATCTGTTTAGCAGACCGAGCTGAATTCTGGGCTGTCATCAGATCACCTCTTTCCAAGGCATTTCTGGCCTGAAACAAACAACCCAAAAATACATCAACCAAATTTCGTTATTTGTCTTTAATGGTTACACTCTTGGAGAAAATTGAAAGCATTATTTATTCATCTGATAACATATTCAACAATGTGGCAGTCAAATCTTTTAAATGAATTAATTTGGTTCAGAAGTCATCAACAAATTGACCTCCATGAGTGAACATAGATAAACTCCTTTATGCTATTTGATTGAAAGCACGAGCTGTTGGCCTTCATGGGTGAACCTAGATATAAACTCCATCATGCTATTTGATTGAAAGCATGAGCTGTTGGCCTCCATGGATGAAGAGCGTGACCCCAAGAGAAAGATGCAGAATAGCTAGAAGAAAACTAATTGTATAGAACCAGATTCTGTATTTTAAAGCCTTGTATAACCAGAGAATTCATACATAGCCTTGTATAACCAGAGAATACATATATAGGCTTGTATAACCAGATAATACATACATAGCCTTGTATAACCAAGAATACATTCATAGCCTTGTATAACCAGAGAATACCTTGTATAACCAGAGAATACATTAATAGCCTTGTATAACCAGAGAATAAATGTACTTACATCCATAGCCTTGATTATAGCAATAATACCAGTAGGCCAAAAGCAACACAAAGTGACGAAAACGGCAGCACACATGTGGTCTTGTGGCGGTGGTCCAGTAACAGCCATTGCTGGTGGAGGCTGGGAAACCTACAAAATATATTTTAATTAGAAGTTATTTACAGTTAGTACAGAAAAGTTATCAATATGATTAAAACACAGATCCCATTTCGTTTTTATACCGGTATAGTTTTCATTTTACTTGTCTTTACTACACAAGGAACTGGAAGACTTTTTATATAACAACCCGCATTCTGGTTGAAACGAGGGATTAGCCAATGAAATGGTCTGTTACAGCGAGCTTTTGCCGTGCGGTGCATGGAACTATGGGTAATCCACTAGAAACATCAATGCTGATTGGTTAATCAAATGTCTGACATCATAGGGTGAAAAGGCGCTCATATGACCTCTGACGCGACCTCCCAAATCAACTGGTCAGATCTTCATGTAGTGTAGGCCATCGAAAGTATAAAAAAACGAAACGAAATATAGATCTATATTTTAATCAGATTGGAAAAGTTATTCACCTATCTCTTAAGAGTAAGTAAGCTTTACAGGTGATTTGCATTTGTCTTTTACGAGAGGGGGCAGAACATTGCCTTGGTGGATGAATAGTTAGGCCAAAAAAAAAGGGTTCTGTTTCCTGTAACGGATAGAAAATAGGGTAGGGTTACATTGTTAGATCTAGTAGATGTACTGTAACATAACATTTTGTGCGAAAATCTTCAATTTTATGTTAGGTTGAGTCGGCGCCGAGGAACATGAAGCATGAATAGATTGGTGGATGGAATTCTTGGATAATTGTTTAAAATGTATCAGGGCCCAGGGTCTAGATTATGATTTAAATATTCTCTTAGGGGGCAAATGGACTTTTTAATCGCTCTATGCTAAAAGAAATAGCGTTGGGAGGCCATTTTGTTCAAGGGAAAGAACTCGCGATGAAAACTTAAAAAATCATATCGTGCCGTCGCACGAAATAGGTCCGTAATAAATTTATTTGTCTTGTTTTAAATACCAATTGAGCAGATCCTATCCACCTGTTTGAAATATATGTTAGCTTGTTTTTGTCAAATTGCATGCCGTTACTTATTAGAACGAAGGTTGTGAGGTTTATGGCTTTTCGGGATGTGCAGTGTTAAATCTATACGAAACCGTCGAAACCTGTAGTCTCGATTTTCACGTCAGTTAGCAATCTTGCGTCAACAGTATGACAGTTCTTAATAATCGTTCGCTGTACAGTACCCGCTTATTCCGATCGGTGAATGCAGATTCAAAGAATGATGACAATTATATCCATTTATAGCAACAAATAATAAAGCCATTTTCACGAATCCGGTACGCTTAGAGTATTTTGAACGGTCGCTCGTTGAACAAACAAGTTTTTTATTTCCCTTGACACTAAAAAAAAAAATTGAGTCGGCAGGTTTTGAAATGGGTCGGTCGGGTTACCGGAAATATAACATTTTTGTTTTTTGGCCTTAACGCATTAGCTTTGGATCAGAAGATTTGTCATTTGAGTCAAGTGGCATAGTTTCGATTCTCTGCCTGCATGTGACAAGGAGTAGGGTCGCCTGTCAAACCTCTTGAGTTTTCTTCAGGTCCTCCGGTTTCCCCCCACTGCTAAAGACCGCTACGCGCGAGCGAATTATTGAAATAAAATTAAACCATGCGTTAGTCCCGAAATTACCTAGTTTATATCAACGGGATGTCAAACCCCGTTTCTATATCTCTCTGTCTGTCATCATACACACAAAGATTAAACAAACATGTTTAATTTAATTAAATGAAAGCGGAATAAATATTTCTCAAAATTCTCTAACTAAAGTATTAGTGTTTTCGACTAAAATCGACGACTTAGGACTTAAAATGTCAGTCAAGTAGTTTAGTGTCTGTTCTCAAGTGGAGTTAATTATAGACCAGTGGTTCTCAACCTTTTTTTGCCAATGGCACACCTTGGAACACATAAAAAAATAGCGGCACACCTGGCTAAATATATATGAAAAATATTTGAATTTTGCAAGATAAAAACATGGGAAGTCATAGACGGCACACAACCGTAGACACAGACTAGTCATAGACACATAAAATGACTCAAATTAAATAAAGAAAAAAAAGAGCTATGAACTTATCAGTAGACACCATTGAATTCATACTCAATTGGGATCACATGGTTTTCAGCATTTTCTTAGTGTGCCGTTCTCGTGGCACACTGGTTGAGAATCACTGATGTAGACAGACAGCATAATGTGGGTGGGGAGTCAAAAGGTCGTATCTTGCATATTTTGTGAAATTCACTTTTTTGCTTCTTCAGAATGAGAATTTTCTTGCGGATCTTTCCATCTAGTTGTCGTATTTCTAGGCCAATAAAAAGAGGTTTATAGTTATTGTTTCAAAATGTCGTATATGGGGTGTTCAAAAAAAAAAAAAAAAAAATATCAAGCGTGAAAATGTCATATTTTTTTTAAAAAATCAACTTTGTGTCTAACCAAAGTATTACAATCAAAAGAAATGTAGCCAGTATTGTTTTATAGTTGAATATGCATTATAGAAATTATTGTTGGGTGTCTACTGTGTGAATTCTACGAAATTGAAGCAGGTAAAGGTGAATCTTTTCCGGAGATACGTCTTTGCCGTATAAAATTGTAAATAACTAGCTTTCACTCTTTATTTCTGCACTAAATTTTGAGCTTGATACGTGCGGATAGTTACATATTGTTTTAATGGCTTCACATACACTTTGTACAGAAATATTTCAGAAAAGCTTCAGAAATACGACGTTTTACATACGACATTTTGACGTGACGGTTTTATTAGACATTTTGATTCTTAACCTCTGTGTGTTTTTTGGCTCTCCTGAACAATTTCGCAAAATCCAGATACGACCTTTTGACTCCCTACCAACGATAAGTTAAGTAACGGTATATCGTTTCAAAAACTTTAAAAGTGTCCTGTGGTGATAGGGCTTTTTCAGTGGCAGCACCTATCCAATGGAATAAACTCCCAGCAACATTAAAGGAAGCCAGAACATTAGCGTCCTCTAAATCATTATTGAAGACTCACTTATTCATTTGTGAATACCAAATGTGACATTGCACCTCAGCGCCATCGAGTATGTAGAACAATTCTAGATGAGAGGCGTTATATAAATTTATCAGTATTATTATTATTATATCAATTTCCCTGCCAATCACACAAGACTGGTAAATATAACTGTAATCTATGTTGTACAAGAACCAAAAAGAGAAATGTGAAGCAACTTACCACAACATTAGTGTATCCAGGGTGGCCATATTGGGTATACTGTGGTGGATACCCTACTTGACCAGCTGGATACTGTTGAGGATACTGCCCCTGCTGTGGATACTGTCCCTGTGGTGGATACTGTCCCTGTGGAGGATACTGCCCCTGTGGTGGAAACTTCTGTGGATAGCCTTGCTGTTGTCCATCAGTAGTAGCTTCATTATAGCTTGGTGGATGTTGAGTTGCTGAAAACATAAACAAAACGATTAATTATGTTCCACTGGTAAGCTGATATCGTTGACTTATGAACCTTGATCTTTTAATGACAATTTTTGCCATTAAATCATATAAGTGGTTATTATTATAAACTAATGTTTAGTATGTATACTAATTATGTATAGACAGTGGTTAGAATTTATACAGTTGTCATTAAATAGTAGGCATGTAACTAGCTGCAAAAGATGTCACTACTGGTGTAAAAGCGTGACTATTTATAACAGTAAACACCAATCACTATTGAATACACAAACCTGGAAAATAGTGATGTATCATTCAATACTCACTGTTTTATCACCAAGTAGTGAACACCTACTTAATGACTTAATGTCTGATTACTATTTACTAGCAATTTTAATGAACTAATAATCTAATAAACATTATGTATATAAACTGACTTCTTTCATCTGCTAGTGTTGTATAGATTTATTTATAATAGTTATTTGTTGCATACAATGAAAGCATACATTATATGTTCTTTATGATACTTTATCAACACAAATCACATAGGCCTAGACAAGCACAAAGCTGGCACTTTTTCAACTAAATTGTTATTTAGTGGTTCCACCAAAGTCTGAATTTTCGGGCGATCATGTTTGATCTGACTCCCTTTTCTATTCCCATCAATTTTACACCGAAAAACTAGCAGATAGCCGTCCGTACTGTGTCCACATGGAACTTCCTACTTTCTATTAGGGTTAGGGTTTGGGTCAGGTATTTAAGATTAAAACCGATAACTATATAACACAAAAATGGGAGTCACATCAAACATGAATGCCAATTTTGGAGTACCGTAGTAGTTATTGAATGTTATTGGAAAATTCGACCACCCATCAATTGCTTAGTGGTAGCTTTCTTTCATTTTTGTATCTAGTATCTGTCAACATTGGCTTCCTCAATAGGATTATAGGGCCTATTGTTGGAAAATTGTGAAAAAGGATGGATTGATTAGTTAGATTGCCATTTCTACATGACATAAAAACATAGACGTGTTTTGAGTTATTAGGCCTACTTTTTTATTTTTAACACCTGACTGTTTTGTATATATATAATATAAATAAAAAATTTACTTGATTTGTTATTTATTAGATCTAGGTCACTGCAACTAATATAAAATGACAACCGGAATCAAAAGCACCTTTTGACGTTTCGCTTCTCGAAGCCGAAATTCACACTATACTATCTACATCGAAACTACTAAGACAAGATATTCACGTTTCAGAGTACATACCTTCGGCGGCTTTGTCCATGGTGTAATTATTCAGTTGTCAAGTAGTTTCAAATTGACTAAATTAAATACTCAAAAAATGAGATAAAAATATTGCGAAATTTCAACCAGGATTTGCAATCGTTTAATAGTCTTCTATGAAAACAACCCGTCACGCCCTCTGCACACTCACTTCTTGTTTTGTTTTTCAGGCTGGATAACTCTGTACACGATTAGGTTCAGACCACTAAATGAAACCTTTTGTTGAGGCATACTAGTTAGAGTGGACTGGGCATTGTCCCTGAGCCCGTCTCTAAATTCTCCAATGTTTTCTTAAAGGAGCTAAATCGCTAATATTTGGGACCTAGAAATTGAGACAAATGTAATCTGATTGTATATAAACTGATTTACATTCAATTGTTTCTGTTTTTACTCTCATTCGAAATCAGTTATTTTCGATTAAATACTTCAGTGTCTCAATCGAATGGTAATCTCTAGCGTCTGGTTATTCCAGTCTACACCGATAGTATTTATTGCACATGCTCTCCAGATAAGTATATGGCGTCACCGTTTGTCATGACTTGTGGAATATGTCTAGCCCCTTTCTTCGGGTCCCTTGTTACAAATGGCGCTGAAACGCATTATGGTACACGACTCGACCAATGGTAAAATGTTTATTTTGTCTTAAATATTGGATATTAGAAGCCCATTTTTCCCGGTAATATCACAACATCAATGTTGATTTAAATTGACAAATAATTCGTGTTTTCAGTTTGAAAGACATTGGATGATATTGAGTTAGAGACTTGGCTACTTTAAGCAATAGAAAATATATACCTATATGATATTGGTGAAAATATTTTGTTACTTGTTCCGTATGCTTTGATAACACTGTAAAGTTTTCTAAGCAACAAATAACTTTTATAAATGAATCTATACGACACTAGCAGATGAAAGACGATATCTATATACCGGTACATAATGTGTATTAGATTATTAGTTCATTAAAATTGCTAGTAATCAGACATTAAGTCATTAAGTAGGTGTTATGTCACTACTTGATGATAAAACAGTGAGTATTATTTGAATGACACATCCTTATTTTCCAGGTTTGAGTATTCAATAGTGATGGGTGTTATAAATAGTCACGTTTTTACACTAGTAGTGACATCTTTTACGTGTAGGATAAAGCATGAGACTGAGGTTATGCTGGGGAAAGAAAGACTGAAGAAAATAACTCGAGAAAAAGAAAAACCGAGGCCGGCAGGCCGCGGTTTTTCTGTCGAGGGTTTTTTCTGAAGATTTTCTTCCCCAGCATAACCGAAGTCGAGGACTTTATCTTGCTTATAAACCGTCTATGTTTACATGTACGCAAAATGAGAATATTGTAGCACCATAGGTCCTTCTGTCTGACGTGGAGAGCGGACACAGTACTAAAATCGGTCGCCACATCCTACGTACGACCCATGCATCTTTTCTTACTACATATTTCTGTAGCCTTGTGATCGTCTAGAATTTGCCTCTAGCTGTCTTTACTTCTGCTTCACGTTGTGTATTTACTTCTTACACTTTCTTAAGACGTTTGTCTTACCAGGAATAACAATGCGACAGTTTGCTTCTACATATTGTATATATATATATAGCTGAATACAGGTATACAAGCATAATAGATAACAATACTAGCTAAAACCATTTCTCTACCCTAGCCAGCCTCGCGACTGTCTCGGAACTCAGATGTAAGCTCTCTGGAACCTAATAGAAGCCTGGCTTGAAAGGTTCAAATAGATATCTTATATAGCACCCACGTTTATCATGCACAGGAAGCCTGTTCATGGCCCTGAACCTGTGCAATTAACGATATGATTGGTTACTTTAAGTCAAATGATGCAATTAGAATAATTCCACTCACGTGTAATTCTGGTGGTAAATTGTGACACCTGTTTTGGTTTATGTAACAATATGTCAATTACAGACTAAGTTGATTTAGTGCACACTATATACGCGAATATGTTTGAAATTACTAACTTGCCAAAGATATTAATTAATGAAATATAAAGGCATCTTATTTCTCTATTCCTTGTCTATAAATTTAAAAACAATGTCGCAACGACGTTAGTGCTACAATATCCCAGAATTCCCATAAGAAAAACTTTAGATCATGTTTTCTTATTGGAAAAAACCTACCCTGGAAGAATCACCTGTTACAGGTTTAAAGAAAAACTTTCAGAAGAATAACCCCAAATTTCCCTGTATATATTCAAAGCCGGCCTTGACTTTCAGACCTCAAGTTATTCCAGGCATAGAATATACCCCAAAGATCAAAGAGATTTACCGTTACAGGTTTATAAAGCTTGTTACACACCTGCTAATCAATGACAACTGTATAATTTTCTAACCACTTTCTATACATACAAATCATTAGTTTAAAACACTGACCACTTATATGGTTTAATGACAAAATCGTCTGTCCAACCTCGTGGGTTTTCTCCGGGTCCTCCGGTTTCTTCCCACGAAGACCCCTACGCGCAAGCGAATTATGGAAATAAAATTGAACCGTGTGTTAGTCCCGAAATGACCTAGTTTGTGCCGAGTGGACGTTAAACCTCTCTCTCTCTCTCTCTCTCTCTCTCTTTCTCTCTCCCTCTTTAGTGTTAAAAGGGGGATTGGATGGCCGAATGGTTAGCACGTGCGCGCTGCGCTGTATCATACGGTCTGTCATTGAGTCAACTGGCGGGGTTTCGATTCCCCGGTTGTACCTGACAAGGAGTAGGGTTGCCTGTCCAACCTCGTGGGTTTTCTCCGGGTCCTCCGGTTTCCTCTCACTGCTAAAGACCCTTACGCGCAAGTGAATTATTGAAATAAAATTGAACCATGTGTTAGTCCCGAAATGACCTAGTTTGTGCCGAGTGGACGTTAAACCCCATTTCTCTCTCTCTCTCTCTCTATCTCTCATTAATGACAAAAATTGTCATAACTAAAAGGCCAAGGTTCATAAGTCAACGGTACCAACTTAGCAGTGGAAAGCGGGATAACCAGATAATGGAAATCGTCAGCTTGATATGATGTGTAGGCCAGTTGCTGTGGCTCCTTTGAGAACAATCTAATTCCAACACCCATGATTCGAGTTTGTAATATTCTGGCTTCAATCCGAAAGTCTATTACCAAATAAGTCTTATTAGGAATAGACCTTCGCTACCTGTGCTGTCCCGTCCGTGTTCGATCCCGGTGTTAGCCGATTAAGTTCATCAGGATTTCCAGGTGTGGTTCCCCCTTGTCTGTGGTGTTGTCTGTGGTGTATATACAGTTGCTCGCATGGGGCGAAAAGAAGAGATCCTGTGTACACGTAAAATAAACATGGCATTGGCAGTTTTAATTCGATATAAGAGTAGGCTGTAGCCTAGCTGAAATACTGTACCCGCGTCGTCTCTTGGGCGCAGCTACAATTGGTACACTATTTGAGGCTTTGCGCAAGTAAGGGGGGTCGGGTGGCCGAATGGATAGCGCGTGCGCTTTGTATCATAATGTCTCGTATTGAGTCTACTAGCGTGGTTTTGATTCCCCGGTTGTACGTGACAAGGAGCTGTAGGATCTCCTGTCCAATCTCGTGAGTTTTCTCCGGGTCCTCCGGTCTCCCCCAACTGCTAAAGATCCCTAAACGCACAAGCGAATTATTGAAATAAAATTGAACCATGTGGAACACTGAAATCTTAATCTTATCTTAATGTTCACCTTTATTTCAATGGAGACCGAGGTTATGTTGGGGAAAGAAATAACCCAGGAAAAGGAAAAACCGAAGCCGGAAGGTCGAGTTTTTTCATTCGAGGTTTTTTTCTGAAGTCTTTAGTCCCCAGCAGAACCGAAGCCGGGGACTTTATCTTGCTTATAAACCGTCTATGTTTACATGTACGTAAACTGATTGTATCCCAGAATCGAGTAAGAAAAAGCTTATATCATGTTTTCTTATGGAAAAAAAACCTACCCTGGAAGAATAATCCGTAACAGGTTTAAAGAAAAACTTTCAGAAGAATAACCCCAAATTCCCCTGTATATATATATATTCAACGCCGCCCCGACATTCAGACCGCAAGTTATTCCAGGCATAGAATATACCCCAAAGATCGGAGAGATTTACCGTTATAGGTTTATAATATATGTTAAGCTATGTGGAGTACAGTTTGGAGTCGATTTAATTGGAAATTAAGGAAGTTTTAGGCCCGCAACTTTTTTGTCATAAACCTGCTCAAATAGGAACTCCTTATAAAACGACTGTGGCTGGAGCATGACGGAAGACATCAGTAGTGTAACCATTTCTAGCCGTAGCCCTGTTCTACGGGCAAACTTTCTCTCATGGCAAACTGTATGGCGTGCCGTATCGCCGTCTTTCATTTTGTATAATATAGTCTAAGAATTGTAATGGATTCAAAGATCCGCCACAGTACGGTAAACATTGGTTGTCTCCCATTATCTCCTATTGACTCGAATGTACAGGGTTGATGAATCATGTCAGATTTGTCATAATGTTTTATATTTTTTTCTGACAAAAAACACCCTTGGTATTGCAAGCCAATCTAGACAGTAACTGTTATGTGGGTGGGGGTGCACCAGTAATTTGTAATGGATCCAATTAAAAGTACACATCTAGTATCATTAAGGCTATCCTGTTCAGAGGCGGATCCAGGGGGGGGGGGGCGAGGGGCAAGGGGCGCTCCCCCTCCCCTAATTTTCGACAGTGCCCTTTTTTACTGCAGAAACTGCCTTTTCTGAGACCCAAAAATTATTATGTTCGTTCCCAACCCGTTGCAGGGATCCCAAATGACTCAAACCATCGACACAAACACACCAGTCTGGTCTAATTAATGCTTCCACTTTCATACGAATTCTTATTGTTTAGCTGACGGTGCCCTAATCCTATAGAGTGACTATAGACAGACATCAATGATAGCATCTTGTGGCATCGGCGGCGTAAACATTCGTGCCCATCACCGACGCGCAAGAGTGCAACTTGATGTAGCATTGTTTCATGTGTGGACAGTACACGTAACAAGGCTTAAATAGTGAAGTGGCTAGGGAATAGATTCGTCTTTTTTCCCATCATAATGCCTCGCTCGCTTTGACAATTTTCGAGTCGCATGTTCAACTGACTTTTTTGCTCGATTTTAAGGCCCTTTTTCAACGATTTTGGAAC